TCTGGATCCCCAAAGGCTCCGTCCACATCTTCATCCAGGACCTGAACCTCTCCCTCAGTCACCTAGGTGAGCTGGAGATGGTGGGATGAGGACTGGGGGTCAGCAGGGGGTCAGTGCAGCTGGGGTTCTGACCCCTATGCTGTCCTCCTAGCCCTGAAGGGGGACCAGGAATCCCTGCTGCTGGAGGGGCTGCCTGGGACCCCCCAGCCCCACCGCCTGCCCCTGGCTGGGACCACCTTTCAGCTGCGACAGGGGCCAGATCAGACGCAGAGCCTAGAAGCCCTGGGACCCATAAACGCATCTCTCATCATCATGGTAACAATAGTGGGAGCAAGATGCAGGAAGACATCAGCCTCCTTGTGGGGACTGGAGCTTGGCTTCCACTTGATGGCCTCCTCCCCCACCCCAGGTACTGGCCCGGACAGAGCTGGCTGCCCTCCGCTACCGCTTCAACGCGCCCATTGCCCGAGACGCACTGCCTCCCTACTCCTGGCACTATGCGCCCTGGACCAAGTGCTCGGCCCAGTGTGCCGGCGGTGAGGTCGGGGTGCAGTTGGGGGTAGGCACTGGTCCCCTGGGCTACACTGCTGGTCCCAGTGGGACTGAGCGGGTTTCCCGGCCACCCCCAGGCAGCCAGGTGCAGGCAGTGGAGTGCCGCAATCAGTTGGACAGCTCGGCGGTGGCCCCCCACCATTGCAGCGCCCACAGCAAGCTCCCCAAGAGGCAGCGCGCCTGCAACACGGAGCCTTGCCCGCCAGAGTGAGTGCCTGCTGGGGCTGCAGGCTCAGGGTGACAAGAACCAGAGTGGGCAGTGCTCCCAGGATCAGGGTGATAGTGCTCCCCAGGATGGGGTCAAGGCTCTCCCTCAGCGTGATGCACCTCCCACCCTCAGCGCGGGTGCAGGGTGGGGCTATCCCAGGTGTGTGCTGGGGTGCTCCCTGCAGAAGCAGCCCTGTGCGGGATTCTGTCAAGATGCTGGCTCCTGGGGAGGAGGAGGATATGCCAGGACCCCAGAGGGAGGGAGGGCACTCCCCTGCATACTCTCTCAGACCTGCCCCCTCCCCACAGCTGGGTTGTAGGGAACTGGTCCCGCTGCAGCCGCAGCTGCGATGCCGGGGTGCGCAGTCGCTCAGTGGTGTGCCAGCGCCGGGTGTCAGCCGCGGAGGAGAAGGCGCTGGATGACAGTGCGTGCCCGCAGCCACGCCCACCAGTTCTGGAGGCCTGCCAAGGCCCCGCTTGCCCGCCCGAGTGGGCTGCCCTGGACTGGTCAGAGGTCAGCCCATACTGCTCCCTATGGGGGTGGGGGGGATGCTGGGATGCCCTTAGTGGGTTCCCACCAAGGCACCTCTCGGCAGTCACAAGCCCCTCCTGCTCGACCTAGTGCCCCCCCAAACCGGCCCAAGGTTAGCTGACCCCTCCTTGTCGCCCTTTGGACCACCATCTGTCCCTCCCTGCCCCCCGCGTGCGGGGACTGGAGCACCCAGGAGCATGAAACCCCCTCTCCGACTACAGTGCACCCCCAGCTGCGGGCCAGGCCTCCGCCATCGCGTCGTCCTGTGCAAGAGCTCCGACCATCGCGCCACGCTGCCCCCTGCGCACTGCCCGCCCGCAGCCAAGCCACCAGCCACCATGCGCTGCAACTTGCGCCGCTGTCCCCCGGCCCGCTGGGTGACAGGCGAGTGGGGCGAGGTAGGCCGGCGCCCTGGGGGCGGGGGCGGCGGGAAGGGGCGCCCCACCGAGGCTCAGCAGCGACTCCCCGCAGTGCTCCGCACAGTGTGGGATCGGGCAGCAACAGCGCGCCGTGCGCTGCTCCAGCCACACCGGCCAGCCATCGCGCGAGTGCGCAGAGGCTCTGCGGCCCCCGTCCACACAGCAGTGCGAAGCCAAGTGCGACAGCGCGCCCCCCGGGGACGGCCCCGAAGGTATGTGCGGCGGGGGGCCAAAGGGCTCCACGGGGACCCTGTCCAGAGCGTGGGAGTCCTGACCATTGGCCTGGAGCATCTCCAACCACCTCAGCGTCTTTCTCTGTCCCCTCCAGGCACTGCACCGCCTCTCCCTGCAGGCATGTATTTAGTGCCACTGTATGCCAAGCATATTAGGCGCCTGATCCTTCCAGGCACCCAAACTCAGGTCATTCCCCCAGCCACCTTCGTGACCTTCATCCCATTCTTCTCCATCCGAACTGTGAACTGCCGAATGTTTTTCTTTAATTCAGAGTTTCTCAACCTCTGCCACTATTGATGTTTTGGACCGGATCATTCTTGGGGGAGGGGGGCTGCCCTGGGCCCTGTAGGATATTCAATGGTGGTCCTGACTTGTGTCTGCGAGATGCCAGCAGCGCTCCTGCCCCCTAGTGGTGACGAGCAGAAATGTCTCCAGATCTGGCCATATGTCCCCTGGGGGACAAAATCGCTTTCCCTAGAGAACCGCTGCTTCAAATATGTCCATTTTTTCTACCTAAGTGAATTTATTCTCCATACAGGGCAATAGATAACTTACCCGGGCACTGGAACCAGACTGCCTGGATTGGGTTCCCTCCCCTGCTCCTTCTAATGGGTCAGGGGGATAATGATATACTCACTAGCCCGGGAGCTGCATGAGAGAGATGGACTAAAACAACCCACGTGAGGCCCTTTATTAGGCACCAGGCCCTGTCCTACCTCACTGGCCAAGTGGGAGCCCGCATCACTGTCGCAAACGGACTGTCGATGACCACGAACACAAAATACTCAAATACCCTGAGAAGGAACAACTTCTCTGGATCTCAGGGTCCTCCGTCGGTCACAAAGGGAAACAAGCAAGGATTACAGCCCCAAATGGATCAAAAGGATAACTGAAAGGGAGCGCTTTTGTCGTGATTGAATGCTGAGTCTGAGGCCCAGACTCAGCACTGTCTCTCTCAAAGTCCGCCAACAGCCTAATGACATATTTACAAGCCTCTTCCACACACTTTTTTAAAAAGATTTTATTTATTTATTTGATAGAGGGTGACAGCTAGAGAGAGAACACAAGCAGGGGGAGCAAGAGAGGGAGAAGCAGGCTTCCCACCGAGCAGGGAGCCAGATGTGGGGCTCGATCCCAGAACCCGGGGATCATGACCTGAGCGGAAGGCAGACACGTTTAACCGACTGAGCCACCCAGGCGCCCCTTGCACCCTCCCCCCAAATTTGAGTTAGAGTTATAAGCTCCCTTTGAGAGGCGAGGAACTGAGGCAGAAAAGCTAGGAAGCTCTGTGCAGGCTTCAGACGCGCTCCTAAGGGAAAGGGCCCTGAGCTCTGATCTCTCCCGCCCCCTCTAGAGTGCAAAGACGTGAACAAGGTCGCCTACTGCCCCCTGGTGCTCAAATTTCAGTTCTGCAGCAGAGCCTACTTCCGCCAGATGTGCTGCAAAACCTGCCATGGCCGCTAGGGGCCCCCGCCAGAGCTACCGCTGGGCGCCGGCTGGAGGGGACCCCGCCCGCAGCTGGCCAGCCTGAAGGAGCCCGAGGGGGCGGGAGCTGGGAGTAAAGGGTGAGACGAAGCCGGAAGTTATTTATTGGGAACCCCTAAAGGGCCCCTGGCTGGGGGATGGAGAGGGGCTACCCACCCCAGAGCCCCTCCTCATCCCCTCTCCCAGTTCATAGTGAGACCCCCTCCAGGGTGGGTTTGAGGAGGGAACAACTAACTGTTCGCCCTAGAGCCCTTTTCACCCACTCCTAGGGAGCCCCTAATACTGCCCCCCCTTTGACCGGAATATGTACTGTGAAGAGTGGGGGTGGGGAGGGGGTCTGCCTGTGTCCTGCCCCCAGCACTGCCCTATCCCTCCACTCTGAGCTGGGGGCGGGGGAGGGGGAGGGTCTATGTCCGCTATGGGGGAGGGGGATTAGCACCACCTCCCTGACACCCTCCCCCTGACCAGACCAGCTACAAGGCTGAGGCAGAGCTGGCAAGATCCACCACAACCTCTGCCCTGCCTGCCCCAGGGGGACCCCGACATCCAGGCGCCCCCATCATGGTGCTACAGACCCTGCCCTGGGGCCCACACACCCCTCGCCAGGAAGCCCTCCATCAATAAAGTTCTGTCTTGTGTAGCTTTCCGAGTGTTGATTTGTGAGCGCGTCAGTGAGTCTGAGTCACACGCAGTCCCCGCCACCGAATGGAAGGGGCCGTGCCCCCCGCCCCACCCCCCCACCCCCGCTCCCGCCGCAGGTGGTTCCCATCAGTCCAAAGGGGCCTTTCACCAGCCGGGACAGAGCCCAGTGATTCTATAGCTTCTCAAGGAGGGTCTCAAGCCACCCGGTCTGGCCCCGGCTTTCCCGCCTACCGCACCCCCAGGCCCTCGGCTCGGTCCAGCCGCCCAGGCCTCCCAGGCCCCGAGGAAGTTCCTCAATTTCCCGCCATCTTCCCATCTCGGGGGGGGGCCTTTGCGGGAGCTGCTTCCTCTGCCAGGTGTACCCTCCCCTTCCCTTTCCACCCAGTTAACTCCAGCTCACCCTGCAGCCACGGTCCCCTCCGTGCAGAAGCCCCCTCGGAAGCCTCCGACCAGGAGAAGGTCCTCCCGCCGCTCGCTCACTCGCGGGTGCCTGGAGGCTTCGCGGCGGTCTGCAGGCACCACGCCCGGGAGCAAACGTGTGCGGGAGGTTCCGGGACAGACGCGCTCCTCCCCACACGTGGCCACTAGGGGGCGCCGCGCCTCGCCAGCCTCCAGGCGCGATGCCGCGTCCCGCCGGGGCGCAGGGATACCGGGTCCTGTGGCCTCCCTGCCAGGCTCCCGGGGTGGGCCTCGGCCTCCTCCCCGCTGTGTGGCGCGGGAGGTGACAACCTGTCCGAAATGCCACTTCCTAAACGTCCAGGGGAGACCAGGACGTGGCCTGCTGCTCTCCCGAGATCAGGACACGGACCAACCCTTGATGAATCCTATGTGAGCTGGACACTGCGGCGAGGGCCCGCACCCCATTTTATAAGAACGTGGGGTCCCGGAAGTGCAGAGCTGGGGGGCATTAAATCCCGAGCTGACACCCCATGTCTGGGAGGTAACAGCTTCCCCTGCTTCCTGGGAACTTCCACTCGTGATGTGTCCCCCCCACCTGCCTCCCATGACAGACCCACGTGGCTCCCCACTGGCTTTTCTAGGGAAAAGACCGGCAGATGGCAGAGGCAGCTCTGGAAGAGGGGGTTTGCTTAGGGACGCCTGAGCAGACGCACATCTGAAGTGGTTTTGAAGAGACCTGAGCAGCCCAAATGCTTCCCCGCAGCTGCCAGACCTGGGTGCTGTCCGCGGCAGCCCCTGTCCAGGCAGTTGGAGAAAGGGTCTTTCTGGGGCCTGGCAGCTGCTGCCATCAGTCCTCGACCTCTCCCTTCAGGCAGGCTCAGAGCCCCAAACAGCCAGCGCCCTCAGCCCCGGCACTGCCGGCTGGAGCCCTCTCCCCGCCCCTGGCCCGGCTTCCCCCGCTTGTAGCAGTGGCCCCTCCCGCTAAAGGAAGTGGGACGGGGGCTGTTCTAAGAGGAACTAGGGCTGGGAGTCTGGTGCAGGAGCAGGACCAGGGCCATGCCCGAGCCGCCCCCCGGAGCACCCTGAGCCTCTACCCCGCCACGACCCATCCAGTCCCTCCCCAGGGGCCTGACAGGACACCCCCACCATGGTAAGTCCTTCAAGGGCCGGCCCTGCAGTGCAAGAGTGGGAGCGGGGCGCCAGCCCAAGGTTGGGGTGCCCTGGACACCACCAACCAGAAGGTGGAGCCTTGGGGAGGGTCCCAGAGGACCCATGGGGGTCCCTCACTACAGCTTCAGGTGCCCCCAGCACCCTTCAGCAGGGACCAAGCTCACATCTGGCAGCGCCAGGATGCGGGAGTGATGATGGGGGACCAAGGATGGAGCAGGGACTGAAGGACAGAGAATGACTGTGCAGGATCACACGGTATCTGCAGGGACAAGGACAGACCCCTTTCTCAGGGCTTCAGGAACCAGTTTCCAGCCCAGCTGGGTCCCTCATCCTCCCGTGTGGCCTTGGGCAAGTCACTTCCCCTCTCTGGGCCTCGGTTCCCACATATGTCATATTTGGAAGTCAGCTGAGATGTAGAAGGTGTTCGGAGAAACTCTCAGAACTTCAGAGAGCCTGTGGGTTCTGCCGCTCTGAGTCCACAGCTGGGAGCAGAGGCTGGGTCGAATGGGCCATGGGGGGCAGCGATCGTGTCGTGACATCATGCCTGTGTAGGGGTGGTCTGGTCATAGCAATCACAGCAAGAGGGGACGGTGAGACACAGCACGGCCACTGGTACCCTCCCGAGCAAGTATGGCAAGGGATACTCTGTGGCCAAAGGTGTCACCCCCCGGGTGAGGCTGAGATCTGATGATGATTACGGTGAAAGGGGTCAGGAGACTCTCACTGTCATGGGTCTAGACCCAGAAGCATCATGACACCCACATTAAGAGAGAGCCCAGGCGGGCTCAAAAATTTGCACCCACCGCTCCATGCATCTGCAAGCCACTTCAGCTTTCATTTTTCGTCAGTCTGTCAAGGACAGCATGTGGCTGGGACAGTCACAGAGCCAGTGGTGACAATCGCAGTGCTCCCGGCAGTTGCAGCAGGCAGCTGGCCAAGGTGGAGGAGGCAGGGGCTACACCAAGAGGCAGGGATCGGGTTAGTCTGAGAGAGAACCTCCCCTGACTTCGGAAAGCCCAGGACACCCTGGGCATCGCTGGCCAAGGACCTCTCTGGGTAACTCACAAAGCAGACCATCCGCTAGAGCTCAGGGCTTGGGATGGGAATTCTTCAAAGAAGGAGCCAAGCCAGAGGTGCTCAGGAGCTCAGATGGGCAGACTTGGATCAAAAGAACACAGGAAATGATTTGTTACTTGAAAAAAAAGCAGCCCCTCCCAAGGAAGCCTTGTGAACTGCTTAGTCAATGTTTTGCTCAGCTGATGGGCTGTAGGAGGGGAGATACTCCCCCAAGAGGACCACGGAGGGGGCAAAAAAGAGCAGACCCCATCCACGAGGCTAATCCTTGCTTCCTGGAGGGATGACGACGAGTGCCAGGAAGAGCATGGGAAGATTCAATGGAACAATGTTCCTAAAGCGCTTTACAGAGCCCCTCTACAGTCACCATCACTGTGGGTGATGCTCATTCATTGCTGGAGTTATCGATGGCGCTGGGCAGAGGTGACTCATTCTCGGTCACCACTGAACGATGGTTGTTGGGCTGTTGGTGCTGCTGGCGGTGACCATATTTCTTGTGGGTGTGCTGGTGGTGGTGATGGCTGCTTTCGGTGCCAGCTAGTGTGGAATGTTTGCGGTGGGTAGTGGGTCATTGTCAGGGTGGATCCGCAGAACGATGGTGGTTGGTGGGGGCGGGGAGTGAGGTTAAGGGTGACCGTTTGTAAACGACAGACAAAAAAGCAGGGAGACCTTTGATGTGGCTGCTTGGTCCGCAGCCAGCAGCCGTGGGAAAGGACAGAGAAGGCTGTTGGCCAAGAGAGAGAGTTGGAGCGGACTCTAGAAGGACAGGGGTCCCCACCTGTCCTCTCCAGTCAGGCCAAAACTGAGAGCTCTTCCCCCAAGAGAGGGGGGACCTCAAGAGCCTTTGGAGGCAAGGATGCTGTTTGCACAGTGCAGGGATGCAGGGTGCGGCCCCGGAACCCCACTGAGATGGGGGAGGACAAGACCAAGGCTGCAGGGACACACGGGTTGGGGGCTGGGGGACAGGAGCTGGGGGCCAGCCCCAGCAGCAGCTGCCAGGGCTGCTTCACATCTACTCCCTGCTTGTGACCACAGCTCGCGGGACCCCAACGAGGAAGGAAGTGGCTGTTTCGTTGTTCTCTCCAGTCTGGGGCTCTTCTCATCAGTACCCAGGAGCAGGGAGGCCAGAGCAGCTAGGGCAAATTGCAAAAGCTCCCGCTTCCAGCCCCTCCCCCTGGCCTTGAATGCTGAGCCCAGGGGACCAGCCAGCTTAAGGCTACTGCTGCTGGGCGTGGTGAGGATGGCTCCCGTTTCCACTTCCCAAGCCTGACCTTGTTGGATCTGCATGGCTAGCGGCCCCGTGAGGCCTACAGCCCTCAGTGTCCCCATTTTCCCGATGAGGAAATAGCCATCACTGTTTCCAGATGAGGAAATAACTTCCCTTCCAGGAAAGGTCAGTGAGCTGCTGTCAAGCCCCAAAGTGGCGGAGGATGTCAACTCAGTGACTCCTAAGGTCGCGCTTTCATCAGTCACCTTGACCTGCAACCGCCCGATCCTCCCTACAAGATGAGGGGCCATGGGGGCTTGGGGGTGCTGACCCCCACATGCCCCAGGCTGCCCATCCCTCCAGCCTCATTTGGATCTGGAATCTCCACCCCCAAAGAAACAGGAAGCTCCCCTCCCCCTGCCTTCTGCCTTAGACTGGGGGCGGGGGGGTCTCTCTGAAGATCCAAAGTTAGAAGCTACCTCCCACCTCCCACTCTAGCCCTGACTCTCTTTCACAAGAACCCCATCAGGTTGAGTCATACTTGGCTTGTGGTCAACTGTGACCACAACATCTTCATTGCACCCCCACCCCTAAGAAAGGGACTCAGAAATTCAGCTTCAACTTGATCTAGGAGACTTGGGAGTCACAGGGAGATGGGTACTTGTGATACAGGACAGGAGACGGCAGTCTCATCCCCGTGGTACCTCATTCAGTCCTTCACTCCCTCAACAACCATCCATCCGCCAGCTCCTATATCTTCTGTCACCGATCACCTCCACTAAATGCTCTTGGGGCCACCAGCTGCCATTTCCTGAGGCTTCCAGTTCACCTCCTCTCCACACGGGCTCCCTGATTCCTCTCAGAGAACGAGTGGAGGAGGTTTATTATGGAATCCATTTTACAGATGGGAAAAAAGAGGCTTAGAGAAGTGAGGCGGCCTCCCCAAGATCACAGAGTCAGTCAACTGTCAAGCCGAGCCTCACACCCAGCTGGTCCCATGCCAAAATTCTTGACTGTCCTTCCATACTCTGTACTCCCTTGAGCAACACCCTCTCTCTCTCTACCACAAACAAAGCATGGTTTTTGTCCTCACAAGGGACTAGGACTGGATCTGGAGGTTCCAGGTCCCCCGCTGGCAGGACACAGAGAGACAGAATGGTGGGGGCAGCAAGGGGCAGAGGGCCACTCAGCTGGCTGGGGGAAGAAGAAAGGGACAAGAAGAGGAACCAAGTCCTTGGGGCCAAGAGAACCAGCCAGACGCAGCCAGCTTTGGGACCTCTGACCTCAGAGAAAGGAAGTGGCCTTGAGCTTCGGCCCAGCTTGACGGGCCCAGGAGCGTAGAGACTGGGCTGACCCACAGGGGAAACTCTAGACAGACCAATCTTGTCTCTGCCCCACCTTCATCTGATCTGAAGCACCAACCCCAGCCCCCTCTGACCTGGACAGGGCTAAGGGCGACAGTCTCTACCATCCTCTCCCAGGTCCTCCCTTCCTGCTGTGCGACCTTGGAGAGGACAAAGAACCTCTCTGTGCTGTAGTGTTCTCTTCCACAAAGTGGACCTAGTCACAGTACTGATCTCATCATGATAAATGAGATCAGTCGCAGAACGGAGACCGCAGTGTGGCACACAGTCCCTGCCAGTGGGCTGTTACCTATTGTTATGATGGGTGTTGGTTACCATAGTTACCACGGGAAGCCCCACGCCTCAGAGGTCTTCAAAGAGAGGATCCACTTCCTGTCCCCGCCCATCAGCAGCCCCCACTTCCCCACCCGCTGTTGACTCAGAGAAAGAGCAGACCCCGCCTGCAGCCCCTGAATGACCCAGTCCATGAAGGGTATCACTCTTCTCACCAACACGCTCTGGTCTCCCCATCTTAAGAACAGGAAACCTGCTCCCTGAACCCTCCTCTCCCCACAGCATCTTTCCCTCTTCCCCTTGTCAGCTAGACCATCTGAAAGCCATCCTCCCTCCCTGTCTACACCTCCTAACCTCCCAAACTGACTTCTGGATGAGGTCGCCAGGGCTCTCTCCAGGGGTCCCTCTGAGCCTCCGGGGAGCTGGACACCTTCAGTAGCTCGGGGATCCAGTCGATGGCTCCCTGCTTCTCCCAACTGGCCCCTGTGATCTCCGGGTCTCACGGCTTCTGGCTGCCTCCAACCTCCCAGCTGACGCCCTGCTCAGCCTCTATCTTGGACATCCTCTCCAACCCCTGCCCCGTGCTACTCTCACAGCTTTGCCCTCCCCAGTGCCCTTCCCACTGCACCCTGGGGTTCTTGGTGCATCCCACCCAGCACCCCCTTCTTGTAACAGACCCCTTGGCAGGCCCCCTGGAACCCCCAAACTGAAATTCACAGACGGTGAAACACACCAACTCCCATTGTTTCAAAAATAACGCGATCTCCTGTAATGCGGAGGAGAAAGTCACTTGGAAGAAAATAGGCACATAAAGATGAAAGTGCTCAGGCCAGTGGCCCACGAACGCCCACCGGAGCGCCCAGGTGCTCACGCCGGGACACGGGAGCATCTCAGGGGGCTGATGCCAAGTGACAGAGGCATCAGCCACGCTACTACCATGAGCAGCGCGAGCTTCCAAAATGCCGAACGAGTCTCAGTACAATCTTAGTAACACTAAAAGCTCTCTTGGGTAGTCTGGGACATGGAGTAGGTGTCAGCCGTGCAAAACACACTGTTTTTCTGTATAGACCTAAAATAGAATTTGATCTTAGGTTCCAGCAATTATAAACAGTTTTGTCACATATGCTTTTGCATAAGCAGCTGGTGGGGTGGAGTGGGGTTTGCAGTCGGGGTGATAATTTATGGACCAATCTGGCACCTGAAGCCCACTTGAAATGCCAGCCACTCCCCGTCCCCAGACAACCGAAAACGCTGCCACAATTCTTAGAGTGTCCCCAGGAGCCCCGCTGAGAATTCCCCAACCTGCTGACCGTCAAGCCTGAGTTCCTTTGCTCGACATTCAAGGCCCTTAGGGACCTGGCCCAGGTTGACCTCCCCTCCATCCATTCACGGGCCATCCCACTTTCCCACTTGGTCATTCAAATGTGCAGCCGGGCCCTGCCTGACCCCCTGCTCTCGGGACCTTGCACACCAAAGACGCAGCCAACGAGCAGGGTGCCCAGCACGCGGACAGGGCTGCGGTGCAGGGCCCCGGGGGCTGCGGGGGTCCAGAGGAAACCTCCATCTGGCCCGGGGAGGGGAGGACTTCCTACAGGAAGTGTCACCTGAGCCAAGTGCGAAGGCCGGACTGGCAGGGACCAGGCAGGCAGGGTGTTCCGAGCTGAGACCTGAGCACCGGCAAAGCACGGGGGTGCCTGGGGCAGGGACTGAGAGAGTGTCTCCCTGGGGGCCGAAGTTAGCAGCACACGGGAAAAATCTTTGGTGGAATGGATGGGTGGGAACGTGACAGGAAGCCACAGACAGCTTCTCATCCCCAGAGCGACGAGACCAGATTTGCCACATGAAAAAACTGCCTGTGACAGCTCAGGCTGGAAGCACTTTGAGGGGGGCTGAGCCCTACCCCCCCCACACGCTCCTCCTCCCCATCTGCTCTCGGCTCCTGCTTCTGTACCTCCATACTGCCTGGCGCGCCTCTTCTCCCAGCTCTCGACCGAAGCCCTTCTTGGCTTTCGAGTCCCAGCCCAAACACCCCGTGGGTCCCAGCCACTTGCGGGTGTGGACGGAAGAGCCTGGCCTTGGCTGTCAGACACAAATCCCACACCCTCAGAGACAACCAAGCTGGGTCCGTAGTCAAGTGTCAAGCCCTTCTGGGGCCTCCGCTTCTGTCCCTAGATGTCCCTGAGCTGCTGTAAGGACTGCTGGTGATACGACCTTCACCCCTGGCCCCCCGGCTCTGAGCACGTCGTAGGCACTCAGTGAATGCTAATTCTGTCCCAGGCCGCTCCGCCCGGGGCCCATCCTCACAACTCCCTGGGCTGGAGAGGGCCGCAGGACTCTCACTCCGTTTTGAAGTTTGCGCCCCAGAGCAGTTTACTCCTTCCCATTAACCCCGGAAAGGGAGGCCACTTCTCCCATTGTACAGATGAGACCACTGAGGCTCAGAGCTGTGTTGGATCACGCCACCTAGATTGGAAGCCAGAGCTATGCCCCACCAAAAACTGGCCTCATTTAATGTCTGCAGGCATTCCTCAATGAACCCCGCTCTGGAATTGCCCAGGGACCCCAGGAAAGACTGGCCTCGCCTCCTGACTCTGTCCCACGCTGCCCCTCCTGCCCCATGCCTGCCTGCATCCTCTCTGCCCAGCTCACCATCCCTGGAATCTGCGTGGCAGACTCTGGTCAGCTCTCAGGACTTGCCTCTGATTCCCAGCATCCTTTGCTCTGGGTGTGTCCCCCGAAGCTGGGTTTCTTTCTTTGCCCCTGTTCTTCATCCATCCATCAGGTCATCCCTTCTAGAGCTGAGAAAGGACTCAGTCCCAGTCCCTGCCCTCCAAGAGCTCCAGGTCTGAGAATGACGGGCTTCCTGGAGGAGGCACATTGTATGTAGGCACGAGCACGCCTGCCAGGCAGGCTCGGGGCCTCAGATTCCTCCATGGCAGGAGTACACCGAACTGAGAGCACTTGAGGCAGCCAGTCTGTTTAAGTGTCCGAGGCACTGGATGAGCTGAAAAGTAAGGCTGAAAAGAGAAAACATTCCAGGCAGGCTTCCTGGAGGAGGGGTGTTTTGGGGGAGGAGCCTGTGTCTGAGTCTTCTCCCAGGGGCCTAAGGAAAGTCTAACCCAATTTAAAAGAAAAAAAAAAAAAAACTGAGGGAGAAAATGAGAAGGGAAAGTGGCGGGGGCAGAGGAGCGGAGTAACAGCACAGAGAACAGAGGTCACAGCCAGGACAGGCTAGGATGCATGACCATGAGGGAGGAAGAAAGGAGGAGGAAGGAGGCCACCAAGAGGTGGAAAGGTGGGTGGCAGGTCAAATGCCATAGAGAAATCAGGGACGCAGCAGGAGCCTGGGCAGGGAGAGGGGGCTGGAGAAGTGGGGGGCACAGAGCCCGAAGGAGAAGTGAGAAGAAGGGTGAGTCCACCCCCAAACTAGCCTCCCCCCGACCCCTTCTCCCCTCCCACAGCCACCAGAGCCCCAGGCACACTCTCTCCCCCTGGGCCTAGCATCACGGTCTCCTGCATGACAGTGGGACACTAGGTGGAGGGTTGGGAGGACAGAGCCCCCTCCTCTGGGGCAGGGAGCCCAGACTCCAGCGCGCCTACCTCTCCTGGTACCCCCATATCGGAGAAGGAGGCTGGCAGGTGGCTGAGGGGAGGCAGAATCGGAAGGCAGGGAGGTGAGCCAGGCTGGGGGGGCTGAGGCATCAGCCCAGCCCCACCCCCCCAAAGTGGCTTACTCCCACCTGGCCACCCCCATCCCAGGGCAGCAAGGAGCGCTTCCACTGGCAGAGCCACAACGTGAAGCAGAGTGGCGTGGATGACATGGTGTTGCTGCCCCAGATCACTGAGGATGCCATCGTGGGCAACCTGCGCAAACGCTTCATGGATGACTACATCTTTGTACCCCGGGCCGTGGGCAGAATGATGGAGACAGGGACGGGAGTATGACCGACCAGTAGAGGGAGGGACAGCACGTGGATGAACGCAGGGAAGGGCGGGGGAGGGACTGCAGCGCGGAAGGGAGAGACAGAGGCCTGAACAAATGAGCAGAGGGAGGGATGGGCAGTGAGAACACCAGCTGGGAGGAGGGGATAGATGGAGGGACAGCAGGGCTCTGCTCTGGGGTGGCTGGGGTCCTCCCTGCTCCCTCTGTCCTGGGTAGCTCAGCCACAGTACATACCATCTCTCCTTTCTGGACCCAGCCCTGTGTTTTCCCCAGCACATCTGAGCATCTCCATCTCTTGCTCTGAGCAATGGGGCCCTGGAGGTCCCGGGGGATTAGGATTTAGGAGACAGGGGCCCATGAGGAACAAAGCCAGCCAGAACACCGCACAGCCCTTAACGGCACCCCAGACCTACATTGGCTCCGTGCTCATCTCCGTAAACCCCTTCAAGCAGATGCCTTACTTCACTGACCGCGAGATCGACCTCTACCAGGGCGCAGTAAGACCGGGGCGAGGTGGGAGGCATGGCCCCAGGACCCCCAGCCTCCAGCCCTGTGCTAAGAGCTGACCTTCCCCACCAGGCTCAGTACGAGAATCCTCCACACATCTATGCCCTCACGGACAACATGTATCGCAACATGCTCATCGACTGTGAGAACCAGTGTGTTATCATCAGGTATGGATAGGGCCCCACACCCCCTGCCCAGGCCCCGCAACAGCCTCACCAGCCTAGGGAGCTTTGCTCAGAGTTTCTGACCCAAACAGTGCCTTACTGTCCCTCTCTGCCCCTGGCCCTGCTTTATTTTCCTTGTCAACCCCTGACCCATGATATATTTATTCATCCATTCTATTATCGTCCATCTGTCCATTCCAAAAGTCCACTCGGAGATGGCAGGGATCTTTGTCTGTCTTGTTCACTATTGTTTCCCTAGAACCTGGTATGGTAGTGAATGAAGAAAAGAAGGAAGGAAGGATGAATGAATGAATGAATGTATGAATGATCAGGCACTAGAAAGGGCGCTGACCCTCCCCCCAACCCTCCCTCCCTGCTGGCTGCTGATCATTCTTTCCTTCATTCACCCCCAGTGGAGAGAGTGGAGCTGGGAAGACCGTGGCAGCCAAATACATCATGGGCTACATCTCCAAGGTGTCTGGCGGGGGCGAGAAGGTCCAGGTGAGGGGAGAACAGAAGGATGGGCTGGGTCTCCCCAGCAGCATAGTAATTAACCCCCACAACCACCTACCTCGCCCTGACCTCTTCCCACCTCCACCTGCCTCTGCCCCCCAGCATGTGAAGGATATCATCCTGCAATCAAACCCACTGCTGGAGGCCTTCGGCAACGCCAAGACTGTGCGCAACAACAATTCCAGCCGCTTTGTGAGTCTGCAGCCCCACACACACAAACACACAAACACACAAACACCTGTGTTCCCAATAGCATAGGAACTCCCTGCTCCTTCGTGGGAGACTCACTTCCTGCTCATGGGAGACTCACTTCCTGCTTATGGTCCTTCTGAAAAAGATTCCCCCATCAGTTGATCTGTAGAAGCCTTGACTTATCTGTGTAACATTCTTAAATATTTTCCTGGCAGGAACCATGCTACATCCGTTCCTGTTCACAGTTCAGTACCCAATTTATTCTCTCATTTATTTTCTTCAACAAATTGTTCTTGGGCTCCTTCTTTGTGTCAGGTGTTAGTGCTGAGCCTAATGGAAGACAGAATAGGTCACCAGATCTGGATTTACAGTCTGATTCTGTCACTATTTAGATTTGTAGCTTGGACCAAAAAAAAAAGTTTCAGCAGCTTGAACCTCCTGAGGCTCCTGTTTTCTTATCCATAAAATAGGGATGATGTTAATACCCATCTCGCAGACCTCAGTAATTCCAGTATGGTACCTACATATGAAATGATTTAATAAATTCCATACACCAATAAGATGTTTTATTCCCCTAAATATTATTAATTATATTTTTATTTCTAACATATTGATCATGTAATTATATTTTAAGAATTTTCCTCAAAATGTTATTCTTAAAAATGTAATGGGGCACCTGGAAGGCTCAGTCAGTTGGGCAACTGACTCTTGATTTCAGATTCATGAGTCTGGGCCCTTTCTTGGGCTTCATACTGGATGGGGAGCCTACTTTAAAAAAATTAATTAAAACACAAAAAAATTGGGAGAATGGTATAGTGAACACCTGCTGCCCATCTCTGAGAGTCTATCATTAAAATTTTGCTCTATTTGCTTTATCATATCTCCATCTGTTCATTTTTTTTAAGTAAGCTCCACACCCACTGTGGGGCTTGAACTCACAACCCTGAGATTTAAGAGTCACATGTTCCACCAACTGAGCCAGCAGGCACCCCTACCCATCTTTTTTCTGATGCACTAGAGAGTAAATTGCAGACACCTTACTTTCCACCTCACCATCACCTCAGCATGTGGATCCTTAATTAAAATCCAATATAAATTTTCATTGATCTTTCATTTATTTTAAAGTAAAATTTGCATATAGCAAAACACGTAAATCTCAAGTGAACCATTCACTGAGTTTGGGAAAATGCATTTGTGCTACCAAAGCCCTAGCAATACACAGAACATCACCCTCTCTCCAGAAAGTTCCCTCCCTTTTAAGTCAATCTCTAATCCCACCTCACCCCAGAAGCAAGCACTCCTCTGGATCTTTTCTCTTTTTTTCCACCATAGATTAGTTTCAGCTGTTCTAGAACTTTATATAAATGGATTCACACAGTAGTTTTCAAACTACTGATATACACACAAAAACGTGGATGAACCTCCAAAACATAATGTTTTATACTATTTTATTATACCAGAGACTGAGTGTAGGTCTTGTATTACAGGTGTCTGTGTAGTGGGATGATGTAATGTGTATTGTCATTGCATTACAGTGGCAAAAAGGAACAAGTAAGGGGGCTTCTCTGCCCTCCCACCTCTAGCCAGAGTAGAACCCAGATATTGTCAGAGACCAAAGAAGGGACTTGTGGGGCTCTCGCTCTGGGCTTAGGGACAACCTGTGAGAGACATCCAGGATCACTAAAACTAGCAGCAGCCTGCAGAGACACGGAGGTCTCTGTGTTGTGGTCAAAGGACCAGGAAAGTGGTTAATAAAGAAGAGTTGGGGTCATGTGGGCAAGACAGGGAAAGAGGCCGGGCTCCTAAGACCCATCCTCAATCCCCCCCACTGCACCCCCGGGGACCCTGGGCACCTCACCTGGCTCTCTCGGTTTCAGGGCAAGTACTTTGAGATCCAGTTCAGTCGTGGCGGGGAGCCGGACGGGGGCAAGATCTCCAACTTCCTGCTAGAGAAATCCCGTGTGGTCATGCAGAACGAAAACGAGAGGAACTTCCATATCTACTATCAGGTGCAAGGAAAGGGGCCGTGAGGCTGGGGCCGAGGGAGAGCCAAGGGGAGACGGTGGGAGGGTCAGGGTCCAGGAGGCTAGGACAGTGAGGACTTGGGGATCACAAGGGCGACGCCAGTCCAACACCAGATGCATGAGCATTGCTCGGCCTGCAGCTGCTGGAAGGAGCCTCCCAGGAGCAGCGACAAAACCTGGGGCTCATGACCCCCGACTACTATTACTACCTCCAATCGGACACCTACAAGGTGGATGGCACCGATGACCGGAGCGACTTCAATGAGACTTTGGTGAGCCGTGATCCCTACTCTAGAAAGCCAAGGCCCAGAGAGGGGCGGGAACTTGCCTCGGGTCACACAGCAAGTGGGTGAAATAGGCAAGACAGGGCTCCAGGTGTCCTGACTCCCTGCGTCCGTGCTGCAGTCCCAGAACCTAACTCAGGAGGGCAGGATGGAGGTGGCGATCCGTGGTACAGGTTCTGCCCCTGTTGTGCCTGCAGAATGCCATGCAGGTCATCGGGATCCCGCCCAACGTCCAGCAGCTGGTCCTGCAGCTGGTGGCGGGAATCTTGCACTTGGGAAACATCAGCTTCTGTGAAGATGGGAATTACGCCCGGGTAGAGAGTGTGGACCGTGAGTGTGGGTGCTGGGGACGGCGGGGTGGACGGGTGTGTCCAAACTGCTTCCTCCTAGTGGGGCCCCAGGAGGGTAAGCACCCACGAGGACAGTATCTCCGTCACTGGGCACAAAGGGGAGGGATGGAAGCACCACAGGGGGCCCCAGAGCCTAACCGGCCGCCCTCTTTCTCCCCAACCCTGGCAGTGCTGGCCTTTCCCGCCTACCTGCTGGGCATCGACAGCGGGCGGCTGCAGGAGAAGCTCACCAGCCGTAAGATGGACAGCCGCTGGGGTGGACGCAGCGAGTCCATTGACGTGACCCTCAACGTGGAGCAGGCAGCCTACACCCGCGACGCCCTGGCCAAGGGGCTCTATGCCCGTCTCTTTGACTTTCTTGTGGAGGTGAGAGGGGCCGGGGCCAGGGCCAGAGAGTGGGAGAGGCCCTGCCCCAGAGTGCCCTGGGCTTGGACCAGCCAGGTGGGGAAGGCAGGCATGGGACGTGTCAAGGTCAAGCACAATGGCAATATTGTAGGAGCCAACATTACAGAACACTTGGCCTTCACCAACTACTGTTCTAAATGTTTCTACATGCGTCAGTTTAAAGCTTTATAAAGCCCTACAGAGTAGTCGCCATCATTACCCCCATTTAAAGATGGGAATATAGAGGTGCAGAACAGTTAAGAGGCCAAGCGAGCTCCCGAGGTAGGAACCCAGATGTTCTAACACCTGGGATTCTCATACGGGTGACTGGGGGCGGGGGGGGGCAGAGAGCTGGAGAAGGCAGGAAGGAGCTGGCATCAGAGGACACAGCCTGGGAATGTGGTTAAGAGCACACACAGAGGGGGACACGCTGGCGCTCACCCACCGTCCCCGTCCACACTGCAGGCCATCAACCGTGCTATGCAGAAGCCCCAGGAGGAGTACAGTATCGGTGTGCTCGACATCTATGGCTTTGAGATCTTCCAGGTACGGCCTCTGCTCCCCAGCCTGCAACAGGTGCCTCCCTGAGCCTCCTGGGGTGGCCCCGTGACCCCAGGAGCCTCCAACATCAGCCCACTGATGGCGACACCCTTGGCCTCCCTTGACAGAAAAACGGCTTTGAGCAGTTCTGCATCAACTTTGTCAACGAGAAGCTGCAGCAAATCTTTATCGAACTCACCCTGAAAGCTGAGCAGGTGGGCAGGGGGAGCCCAGGGACACTGGAGGTGGGGGCAGGACCAGTCTGCTGAGTCCCAAGGGAAACCCCCACCCAGGCTCCCATTCTCACCTCTCTCTGCTGACCTGTCCAGGCCCCACCAGGAAATTTCCTATGAAAGCAGTTCCCTGCTGCTAAAGCTTTGACAAGGGCTGGGGCACAGCCTCCTTGGTCATTCCGCCAATGATTTTTTATTGAGCACCTGCTGTTTGCCAGGCACTGTTCGCAGTGCTGGGGAGACTGCCATGCAAGAGAGGAATGAAAATTCCTGCTGTTTTCATCCAACCCATTCCGCAAAAACAGAGCCTGAGGCAAGGGTTCAGTACAAATATCAGGGGAAGAGTGAGGAAGTGGGAGACACATTAAAAAAAAAAAAAATAGGGAGGTGAGCACCTGGGTGGCTCAGACAGTTAAGCATCCAACTCCTGATCTCAGCTCGGGTCAGGATCTCAGCATCCTAGGATCGAGCTCCACATCGGGCATCTTGCTTGGGATTTTCTCTGTCTCTCCCTCCGCCTTTCCCTCTGCAGTAGACAGAGGGGGAAGCAGGCTCCCCACTGAGCAAGGAGCCCAATGCCAGGACTCATCCAGGACCCTGGGACCATGACCTGAGCCAAAGGCAGACGCTTAACCAACTGAGCTATCCAGGCATCCCAATAAATGAATCTTTAAAAATAAAAAAATATATATATATATATTTTTTTTTTAAAGGCTAGAATAGGGTGTATTGATGAGCAGGCTATGCTGCAGGCAATTGGGGCCAATTTCCGCTGAGCCCTGGGGGACACTCTAGCAGGGAACTCAGGGTTAGGCCACCTCAGAAGCAACGGAGCCAGGATATTTATGCACTGGCTCCTTCCTGTCTGTGGTCAAGGGCAGGGCGGGCGGCTGTTCCAGTCTGCCCCACTGATGATGAGGGCGATGAGATGGGGAGATATGGGGAGACACCCATCACACCTCCCTCACCCACCCTTGTGAAGCATGCATTCTAGAAACCCTTGCGTCCTTGCCCAGACCCCCACCCCCACCCCGGCCGCTTTGCCGCCCCCAGGAGGAGTATGTCCAAGAGGGCATCCGCTGGACCCCCATCCAGTACTTCAACAACAAAGTGGTCTGCGACCTCATTGAAAACAAGCTGGTGAGGACCTGCCCGGCTCCACGCGCGTTCTGCTGGGTCTGGAGCTGGGCCTGGGAGAGGAGGGGGTGGGTTAGCGCCCCTTCCCCATCCCGCTCCGCGCCGGGAGCACACAGAAACACCCCGCCGGCCACCTCATCCACCCTCTCTTGTGTTGTCCGCTCAGCGAACCTTCCCCAGCTCAGCCTGCTCAAGGACAGAGGTGTCAGTCCTGGGAGGTCCCCCACCAGGTCGGCCCCGTCTGGGGACCCGAAAGGAGCATGGGTCCTCCAGGGGCTCCTCACCCCGGTCCGCCCCCCAGCAGGCTTCCACCACAGCCCCCCATACCGTCAGCACCCCCACTTTTGCTCTTGTATTTGGATCTCGCCCCTCGCTGGCCCCGCGGCCTCCACACCCTCCCAGTTCGCGGACAGGGGAGGGGCCGGCAAGGCTGAGCCGCGGCCCCTCTCCCCCGCCCGCAGAGCCCCCCGGGCATCATGAGCGTCCTGGACGACGTGTGCGCCACCATGCATGCCACCGGCGGCGGCGCCGACCAGACCCTGCTGCAGAAGCTGCAGGCGGCCGTGGGCACCCACGAGCACTTCAACAGCTGGAGCTCGGGCTTCGTCATCCACCACTACGCCGGCAAGGTGCGCCCGTGCCCCGCCCTCCGCGCGTCCCACCTGGGCGCGGCCTCCCAACCTCCTGCAGCCAGAGCCGCAGGACTCCACGAGCCCTTGCCCCAGCCCTCCCACCGACCCCCAGGAGCTGGCCTGCCCCCCCAAACCATGGTCCTTCAGCTGGGGCTGCGGAAACCCCCACTGCCGCCCCCACCGAGGTCACAGCTCTCCCTAATAACAGGACAGCTCCACCTAATAGGACAGAAACTCCCTCCCATTGACCCCACATTGGGCAACAGACCCCCACATCCCCATCTGAGCTGCAAACCCCACACCCCCTGACTCAGGACACAGCCTTCTAACCCAAACTCAAAGACCCCAGGCCCAAGCTGTGAGCCACCGCCCTCCAAAATGGGCCGGAGCCCCCTGCAGACTCCCACCAAAGACTGTAGAAATCCGCTGGCCTCTGACCCTGGCCACCGTCCTCCTCCTCCACTGACAGGACTGTAGACTCTCCCACTGACCTCAAGTGGCAGCAGACGTCCCCAGGGATCTCCCAGCCCCCAAACTGGGCTAGAGCTCCTGTGTTCCTTCAGCCAAGGAATAGCAGCTCGCAGGACTACGGAGAGCCCCCACCTTCGATGCAGACCCAGCCCACAAGCCTGATGGAAGACCCTCGTGGATCCCAGCCAGTGCTGGAACCCTCCTGACACCAACCCCACCCCCTCGACTGACCACAACATACTCCATCTGACCTTCTGAGCTCAGATTAAACAGCAGACCCCGCAAGGACCCCGTGTCCAGGCTGCAGCCCCAGCCCTCCAACCTGCACTTGAACATCAGACCTCCATGGACCCCAAGCCAATGCAGTAGCTCCCTGACCCCCCTTTTTTTAAAGATTTTATTTATTTATTTGACAGATCACAAGTAGGCAGAAAGGCAGGCATGGGGGTGGGGAAGCAGGCTCCCTGCTGAGCAGAGAGCCGGATGCGAGGCTAGATCCCAGGATCCTGAGATCATGACCTGAGCCAAAGACAGAGGCTTAACCCACTGAGCCACCCAGGCGCCCCTAAGCCCCCTGCCCCTTATTAGGAACCATAGGTACCACCCCCATTGGGTCAGCTCAGGGCAAGCCCTCACGGGACCCCTGGCCACCTGGGATGTAAGCAGCACCCCAGGCTTCAGCCCCTCATTCCCCCCAACACTCTCTCCCTCCAGGTCTCCTATGATGTTAACGGTTTCTGTGAGCGGAACCGGGATGTTCTCTTCTCTGACCTCATAGAGCTGATGCAGACCAGTGAGCAGTGAGTGGCCTCTGGGCACAAAGCTGGGGCAGCGGGGCAGAGCAGGGTGGGGAGGCCAGGACCCTCTTCATCTTCCCAGGAGCTACCATCATGCTTTGTGGGGGTGGCTGTCTGCAGGGACAGTGTTTCTAGTGACTGGTTCTGATTCAACAGCAGCCCGAGGTCCACAGGAAGAAGTAAGGAGAACCCTAGGGGCAGTTCCTTATGGCCCGTCCAGGCCTCCCCTATGCAAGCCCAGCTGATGCGGGGTGTAGACAGTGTCCCCTGGTGCACCATGAGAACACACCGCACCCGGCCTTCTTCCTGTATTGACACATATGGACCATCTCCCTGACCACAGCTGCACACCGGGTTCCATTTTTTGCCTTTTTAACCTCCAAATGTAATTCAAGCTCTGCCGTGTGCTGGGCACCATTTCCTGGGACTGGTGGGGATGGAGACTGAACAGGTCAGAGAACACAGGGGCCCTCATTGAGTGGAGAGTCAAGTGGGGAGCAGGCATGGAACCAGGGAAAAGGGCAGATAGTAATATGGCATCGCATGAAAGGCATAAGACCGCGGCCAGTAAAAGGCTGAAATCTGACTCCTGGGCCAAGAACAGGAGCGTCCTCTTAGCTGGGTACAAATGCACTTGGCCCCGGACCTGGGACATCAGGGTCTGCCCTGTAACGAGCGTCCCCAGCGCCGCCTCCAGACCCACGGGCACATCTGAGTTTGAGATTCTGCGGTCTAGAGCGCGCGGTCTGTTACATTTCACATCCACGTAGAATCCAAGCTATGCACATCACGACTTGAAAACCACCTTCTTCGGGTACAACTTGCGTGCCATGAAACACGTCCAACTTCAGAAGTCATTTTTTTTTTGAAATGTATAGAGCTGTGCAACCATGACCACTACCCAACTGGGACCATTTGCATCACACCCAAAAGAGCCCTCGTACCAAGTTGCAGTCGATCCCTATTCCCATTACATGTGTAATTTTATATTTTCTTTTTTGAAGATTTTATTTATTTATCAGAAAGAGAGAGAGAGCACAAGCAGGGGGAGCAGCAGGCAGGGAAAAGGCAGACTTCCTGCTGAGCAGGGAGCCCGATGTGGGACTTGATCCCAGCACCTGGGAATCATGACCTGAGCCAAAGGCAGACACTCAACCAACTGAGCCACCCAGGTGTCCCAGCATGTAATTTTAAATTTTCTAATAAGCACAGTTAAAAACATAAAAAGCAGGTAATTCTTCATCTTGGGGTCGTGAGTTTGAGCCCCACCTTGCGGGGGCGGGTAGAGATAACTTAAATAAACTTTAAAAAAAAGTAAAAAGGTGACTAGGTGACATTAAAAAATGTTTTCTTATACCCAATATACCCAAAATATCATTTCGGATATCATATAAAAATTACATCATATAAAAATTACAAATGAATGAATGAATTATGGAGGAATGAACCATATTCTCTTGCCCCATGCTGTGGTGGTCTTTGAAAGCTGGTATGCATTTTAACACTCCCAGCGCACCATGATTTGGACAGGCCACGTCTCAAGGGCCTCGATAACCCAGTATGACCAGGGGCTACCATATTGGAAAGCACAGAGCCATGGTTCTCAAAGTAGGGTTCCTGGACCATCGGCGGCAGTATCACCTGGGAACCTGTCAGAGATGACTGAGCCCCAGCCCAGACGTGTGAATGAGAAACTCAAGAGGAACTGGGTAGGGGCCCAGCCATCCATGTTCTCGCAAGCTCTCCTGGTGATTCTGGTGTCCCCTGGGGAGACCACTAGATAGAAAAATTGAGTTGATAAAAGGCTAGAGTGTGCTGTGAGCATCATTCACTCTTTCTTTTTTTTTTTTTTACTTTCTTTTAATTATGATAAAATACACACAGTATAAAGTTCCCTTATTGCCATTTTTTAAAAGATTTTATTTATTTATTTAACAGACAGAGATCACAAGCAGGCAGAGACGCAGGCAGAGAGAGAGGGGGAAGCAGGCTCCCTGCTGAGCAGAGAGCCCGATGCAGGGCTCGATCCCAGGATCCTGAGATCACGACCTGAGCCAAAGGCAGAGGCTTTAACCCACTGAGCCACCCAGGCGCCCCCTTATTGCCATTTTGGGTTGTAGAGTTCAATGGCATGAAGCACGTTCCAATGCCGTGCAGCCATCCCCATTCTCTCCTTCCAGAGCGTCTTCTCCCTCCCGAGTATGTCTGGATGCGCAGTGTGCCCGCTCTGTGTTGCAGCGGTCAGGGAAGAGCCCGATCAGGCGATGAGGGAGGGAATAGTGAATAGAGAAAGCGTGTGGAAGCAATCCCCTGGTGACGGACAGTTAGACTGAGCCCATCTAGGACTACTGCGGGCAGCGAGCACCCTCGTCTGTATCTCTGCTCACACGTGCGAGCCTGTGCGTGTGGGATTGTTCCTACACGGGGACCTGCTCCTGTAGCCCGAGATGCTGAGACACTGCAGCACGCGAGATATGTTCCTTCTGAGCCGAACTGTGTTCTATTTCACGTGCTCCCCAAGTCGTGCCGGGCCAGAGAGGCAGGAGGAACGGTGCAAATAGATCCAGGAACCAGAAGGACAAAAGCGTCTCTCCGGTTCTCACCATCATACCCCCACATTCAGGGAGAACTGTGCTCCCCTGGGAGAGGGCACCCAAGGTTCAGCTGCACCTCTGACTCCTCCTGTCCCCCCCCCCCCCCCCCCCCCCGGGCCCTCCCCCCGATGCTCTTTCCTGAGAAGCTGGATGTGGACAAGAAGGGCCGCCCCAGCACGGCTGGCTCCAAGATCAAGGTGGGCCTGGGGCAGAAGAGGAGGAGCTGGGCCTGGGGAGGGCTGGGGACTGTTCTCTACTCATTCTGCCATCTGTCTCTCATGCCTCCTGGGGCCTCTGCCTCCCACCCCCCGCACCCTCTGTGCAGCAGAGTTTTCTTCCAGCTCTGGGGTTAGTAGGGGCTGGACCGGTTTCCTTGGAGTCCCCCCAACTCTCAAATCCAAAAGTGAACCATCATCTTAATAATGTTTTGGTCTTTTGGTTCTTTGCCACTTTAATTTGAATTGTGGTCAAAGTTACATAAAATGTACCATCTCAACCATCGTTAAGTGCACAGCTCGGCGGCATAAAGCACACCACCCCCACCCTCCATCTCCAGAACTTTCCAGCTCCCCAAACTGTCTCCAGAACTTTCTCCAGAACTTTCCATCTTTCCACACTGAGACTCTGTCCCCATGAAGAACAGACTCCCCACCCCCTGCCCCAGCCCTGGATCCCACCATCTCCCCTCTGTCTCTGTGGACAGGAACTCCTTTGGGGACCTCCTGGGAGTGGGGTCCTGTGGGATGTGTCTTTCTGTGGCTGGCTTACCCCACTCAGCAAAGTGTCCTCAAAGTTCGTCCATGTTGAAGCAGGTGTCAGGACGTCCTTCCTCTTGAAGGCTGAAGTCTTGCAGCTATAAATGGACCTCATTTGTCCCATCCATTCCTCCACGGGTGGACACTCGGGTTGTTTTCACCTTTTCCCTATGGTGAATAATGTTGCTGTCAACTGGGTGTCCCATTCTAAAAATCTCTTCATAACCCCGCACTGGGCACTCGCCAGTGCAGGCAGCCAACGTGGGACACTTTACAGATAAGGGACTAGCCGCACCTGGGGCTTGGGGAGACCAAGGCTCAGAGCAGCAGTCACTGGCCTGGATCACACAGCAGAGCCACAGTCCACATCAAGGTCTCTCAGGCCACCCTCTCCAGTCCCCCGACCTGGAACAATGTCCTTTCTAGTCTCTTCCAAGGGACTAAAATGCACAACCCAAGGTGCACACACACACACACACACACACACACACACACATGATTCCCTACTTCCAAAGAAGTAGTCCCCCCAAAGGACAGGCAGGAATGGTCAATGCAACATGCTCTCTTGAGAGCTCTGTTACTCTATCAAAAAACGTTTGCTGAGCACTTGCTAGGCGCCAGATTAAGTGGTGGGTGCTGCAGACAGGAGAGCTCCTGGTCTGAGGCCCAAGGATCAGGCAGACCCACAATATCAAGTCCCCATGGTGTGCACTAATGGAAGAATGCCCAGACCAGGGACGCCGGGCCCCGTGGCTCCCTGGGAGCCAGCCCAATGTGTCTCTGTCTCCTGGGCCTGTATTCAGGGTGGGAGGAGAGAGGGTCCAAGGGTCCCATCTGTGCACCCATCCTCTCCTTCTCCTCCACCTCAGAAACAAGCCAATGACCTGGTGGGCACGCTGAAGAGATGTACCCCCCACTACATCCGCTGCATCAAGCCCAACGAGACCAAGAAGCCCCGTGACTGGGAGGAGAGCAGGTGAACACCAGGGGCACCAATCCACCCACACTGTCCCCCCAGACCGACCCTCCTCCCAGAGCCCGCCCAGAGTCACGGGACCCATTCCAAGACTGAGCGAGGCTGACCCCTAGGACCAGCGCAAAACTCCTCAGGGGTCCCGGCGTTCTACCTGGCACCGACCAAGATCCCTGGACTCCAGGGATGAGCAGAACCGAGTGTAGAGTGACCCAGGGACTAGCACAGTCCCCTCTGTCCCCAAACCCTAGGACACACCCCTAGAATTAACCCTGGAACTGGAACTCACACAGACCACCTCCCCCTAGAAGGAAGGCCCCCACCCCACCGAACTGACTCCTGGACACAGAAGTCACCCCCTCCCCCACCCAAACTGTCCCCAGCACGAATCCAGACCCCCAGGTCTCACAACTGTCTTTCCCAGCCCAGCTCAGCAGCAGCCCCCTCCCCCCACCCCCACTCCAGACCAGGGAGTACAGGAGACTCACACTGCCTCCCCCTCAGGGTCAAGCACCAGGTGGAGTACCTAGGCCTAAAGGAGAACATCAGGGTGCGCCGGGCTGGCTTCGCCTACCGCCGTCAGTTCTCCAAGTTCCTGCAGAGGTGAGGCTCCCCCGCCTGCCCCCGGCCCCCATCGCCAGTCCGCAGAGGAACCGCCAGCACAGACATGCACCCCAAACCCTCCCACACCCTCTGCCTCCAGGTACGCCATCCTGACCCCTGAGACGTGGCCCCAGTGGCGTGGGGATGAACGTCAGGGGGTCCAGCACCTGCTCCGGGCGGTCAACATGGAGCCAGACCAGTACCAGATGGGGAGCACCAAGGTCTTTGTCAAGAACCCCGAGTCGGTGAGTGTGAGAGACACCTGCATCCCCGCATGGGCGCGGGTCCGGCTCTTCAGGCCCCTTCACGCCTCGGGCCTGTTGCCTTACCCCCTTAGAGCCTCTGTTCCTCCATCTGGAAAGTGGGGAGAGTGGTAGCCCCCTGCAGGATGGGGGTGAGGCTCAGACAAAACAGGAAGTCCGCTAGGTAGGGTGTGGCAGGTAGCAAGTGCTCAGAAAAACCCGAATTAGCCGGACAGGCACAGGGCCCAGGAGGCAGAGGGGGAAACACGTAACCCACAAGGGGCAAGAACTCACAGCTTCTCCAGAACGTCACTTGTCCGTCTTTCTACTTTCTTCCTTTTTTCCCCTAACGTCCTTCTGTGCTTTCTTCTCTCCTATGTTTTCTTACCTCTTCCCTCCTTCCTTCCTTCGTGAGCACACTGAGTCCCTGGGTCTGAGACTCTCATCAAAGCCGTGGTTGGCTGATCCCAACACCTGCCCCAGGCCCTGAGCTACCGCAGACAAACCTGACTCCGCATTCTCCACGCACAAACCATCCCTCCTGCACCGCACCAGCTCTAAGCCTTTTAGCAAAAGTCTGGGAAGGCCACCAACGTGAAGCTGCGTCTGCTTGCAGGGAGAAAACGAAGTCACAATGACAGATCTGTTCTGGGGACCTACTGTAAGCATGGTGACTGTCGTTGACAGTGCTGTGCTACAGACTGGGAACTTGCTCCGAGCAGATCTCCCCTGTTCTCACACCACAAAAAAAGAAATGGCAACCATCCGAGCTAGCTAGCCTAGGAGGCCATCATTCTGCAATGTACATGTATCAAATGCATGTATATATGTATGTATACATGTATCAAATCAAGGCCTGCGCACCTTAAATTTACACAATGTTATATGTCAGTTATATCGCAATAAACCTGGGGCGGGGGGGACTCTTTTAAACAGCAACAATGACAAGGAGAACAAAAATCAGGGCCAAAGCAGAGGTGGGGCACCCGGCTGGCTGTCCGTGGAGCACGTAACTCTTGGTCTCAGGGTTGGAAGTTTAAGCCCCCATGTTAGGTGTAGAGATCCCTTAAAAATAAAATCTTAAAAAATAAATAAATAAAAAGGCAGGGCAAGGAATCCCCTTGGGTGGCCTGCCTGGCCACCTGCTTCTATACGAGCACTGGAGAGCAAACCGGGAGCTGGCCGTCTGGATGAGATGTGCCAGCTCACACACTCCCATGCAAATCTTATGTCCCCCAGCCTGGGCCAAGCTGGAGCCCTGGGGAAAGGGCGGCCGCCTGCCCAGGGCTGGCTAAGTGCCTCATCGCCTGCATGGTCAGAGCACCTGCCCTACCAGCCCCTCAGGGACTTGAAAGCAACTGGATTGCCTAGATGATTCCCTTGACGTTACTGTAACTTACAAGTGACTGTTCCCTCATCAAACCAGACACATAACACAGTGGAGAGGAGACTCTGGAGATTTCACTGCTACAAAAATTGCTGGGGCTACTGTTTGGTTTAGTTAGTAGAGCATGTGACTCTTGGTCTCAGGGTCATGTGTTCAAACCCCACGTTGGGCAAAGAGGAAAGAAAGAAAAGAAAGAGACTCCGAGGAGAGAAGGAGAAAGAGAAAGAGAGAGGAGGGAGGGAGGGAAGGAGGGAGGGAGGGGAAGAAAGAAAGGAGAGAGAGAGGGAAAGGAGGAAAGGAAAGGAAGGGAAGGGAAAGGGTAAGGGAAGGAAAGGAAAGGAAAAGGAAAAGGAAAGGAAGGGGAAGGGGAAGGAAAGGGAAGGAAAAGGGAAGGGAAGGGAAGGAAAGAAGAGGAAAAGGGAAGGGAAGGGAAGGGAGGAAGGGAGGAAGGGAGGAAGGGAGGAAGGAAGGAAGGAAGGAAGGAAGGAAGGAAGGAAGGAAGGAAGGAAGGAAGGAAAAGAAGAAAATTGTCTTGGGTGCTCAGGCTCTTCTTGGTCCCCCAAACTTGTCTGTACCTAACTCTAGACCTTCTCCCTATAGATGCATTTGCTCCAAGAAATAAGAACAGTCTTTGGGACCCTGGGTGGAGCAGTCAGTTCAGCACCCAAATCTTGGTTTTGTCTCAGGTCATGATCTCAGGGTCGTGAGATGGAGCCCAGTGTTGGGCTCTGAGCTCAGCCAGGTGTCCACGGAAGACTCTCTCTTCCTCTCCCCTCAGCCCCTCTCCCCATCGCTCTCATTGTCTCTCAAATAAACCTTTTTTAATTTTTTAAAAATTGACCCTGAAAAAAAGCAAATAGACAAAGCTAGCACTGGCTAAGACTATATCAGGTAAAATCAAATTCTGACCCAAAAATGCAGTCTGCACACTTTGAGGTGAGGAAGATGAACTGGCTGGAAATAATGACGTTCGCAAAGGGAAAAACTTGGTGGAAACATTTTGTAAGGAAAAAAGAAAAGCTGAAAATTTGCCCGGGACAAAACTGATCCCAATGAGAATCATTTTAGTAAAATGAAAACAGAAGAAACAAACATGGGAACAGTTTTATGACTGTTTATAACTGGGCTGTATCAAAATTGATCAAATTAACTTACTCTAATGGAGTTGGGGACTTTCTCAACCACAAATGCCCTTACCCAGGATGATTCTGACTTGGAATCTGTGTCTTGTAAACATGGACTCAAAATATCCTTGATGTGGGGTGCCTGGGTGGCTCAGTGGGTTAAGCCTCTGCCTTCGGCTCAGGTCATGATCTCAGGGTCCTGGGATCGAGCCCCACATCGGGCTGTCTGCTCAGCAGGGAGCCTGCTTCCTCCTCTCTCTCTGCCTGTCTCTCTGCCTGCTTGTGATCTCTATCTGTCAAATAAATAAATAAAATCTTAAAAAAAATATCCTTGATGTTTTACGCACGTGCTGGCCTTCACTGCCCATCATGCCGGGCGTGTTCATTTCCGGTGGCTACTGTAACAAGTGCCACCAACTGGATAGCTGAAGTCAACAGAAATTAATTTCCTCGTGTTTCTGAAGGCTAGAAATCCAAAATCAAGGTGTCAACAGGGCCATGCTCCCGCTAAAGTCTCCAGGGAAGATCTTTTACTCTCCCTAACATCTGGTGGTCGCCCGCTGTCCTTGCCATTCCTGATCACCCTGGTCTCTGCCTCTGTCATCACATGGCCTCCTCCTCTGTGTCAGGGTCCAAATGTCCCTCTTGGAAGGACACCAGTCATACTGGACTGAGGGCCCACCCTACTCCAGTATGACCTCATTTTAACTTTATTACATCTGCAAAGACCCTCTTTCCAGTCAAGGTCACATTCACAGCTTCCCAGTGGACATGAATTTGGGGGTGGGGAGAAACACTATTCAAGCCAGTACACCAAGTTAACCTCAGATCTGGGGCCCATCTCACACACCTTAACCACACACAACTCTGCCCTCAGCACATAAAGGAGATGAATTTTATTTTTAAAAAGATTTTATTTATTTGAGAGAGAGAGAAAGAGAGCACGAGCAGGAAGAGAGGCAGAGAGAAGCAGACTCCCTGCTGAGCTAGGACCCTCTGACTCAGGGCTCAATCCCCGGACCCTGGGATCATGACCTGAGCCAAAGGCAGACGCTTAACTGACTGAGCCACCCAGGTGCCCTGAAGGAGATGAATTTTATTTTTTTTTAAGATTTTGTTTATATATTTGAGAGAGAGTGCCAAAGCAGGGGAGGGGCAGAGGGAGAGGGACAAGCAGACTCCCCACTGATCAGGGAGCCCAATGTGGGGCTTGATACCAGGACCCCAGGTTCATGACCTGAGCCAAAGTCAGTCATTTAATCGACTGAGCCACCCAGACACCCCAGAAGGAGATGAATTTTAAACTCTGTAGACAGGAAGATTCCTTTCCCAAATTGAAAATGAATACCCTTCCTGAGCAGAAATAACAAGGTTGCAGGACACTCATCCCATCTGCCCTGAACAGCTAAGGCAGAGAGGACTCCTGGTTGACCCCCACTTCTGCAAGTTCTTTATTCATACTTGACGTCCTCTCGGCAAAGTGCAGAATGTACTTATGTGTCCTCCAGACACCCTATATGAGGCATTACTTAGGCATAATTTGCACACAGACACACTGACCCAGAGAATATCTGTCTGAGAAACAAAGGGGATATGGAAACTCCACTAGATTCCCTGCAGGCCGTGAAGCTTTAATCTTGGTGGGGTTAGGATTTCTTCCTGGTGAAAAGATCCCCACCTTTCGTGAACACTTATAAACACCCACAGCTTTAAAAGTTCTCAAAGATTTGAGAACTCAAATGGGTTAAGGCCTCTGCCTTTGGCTCAGGTCATGGTCTCAGGGTCCTGGGATCGAGCCCCGCGTCGGACTCTCTGCTCAGCGGGGAAGCTGCTTCCTCCTCTCTCTCTCTGCCTGCCTCTCTGACCACTTGTGATCTGTCAAATAAATAAATAAAAATCTTAAAAAAGTTCTCAAAGATGAATAAAGATTAATTTATTTTAGAGAGAGAATGGGCAGGGGAAGGGGCAGAGGGAGAGGAAGAGGAAGAGAGAGCGAGCATGAGTGAGGGGAGGAACAGAAGGAGAGGGAGAGAGGGAGAGAAAAAGAGAAGCGACTCCCTGCTGAAGACAGACCCCCCTCCCCCATGGGGGCTCAGTCTCACGACTCTGAGATCATGACCCGAGCCCAAAATCAAAAGTTGGATGCTCAACCAAGCCACCCAGGTGCCCCTCCAAACGTACTTTTTAAAGTGCATTTGAACCAAGTATCTACAGAATTACTTTAGTCCTCGCAGGGAACCCTGGGGTTTCTGGGAAACATCAACCATCTTGGTGTCAGCGAAGCAGACAGGCGGGCTTTTAGCAGTGATGTGATATTTGTGTATTTAACAAATCCCTCTGGGTGAAGTGCTAATTATTTTCCTAAAGAAAGACTCATTTTATTTACAGTATTTCCCATTCCGATATATCCCTGACAATGCTGTCCCTTTTATCACTAAATTGGTTTGAATTACAACATTCCCCAGTCATCTGTCCTATTCCACTAGGTTGTTCTTTTTTTTTTTTTCTAAAGAGTTTATTTATTTATTTGACAGACAGAGATCACAAGTAGGCAGAGAGGCAGGCAGAGACAGACAGAGGAGGAAGCAGGCTCCCTGCTTAGCAGAGAGCCTGATGCGGGGCTCGATCCCAGGCCCCTGAGATCATGACCGGAGCCAAAGGCAAAGGCTTTAACCCACTGAGCCACCAAGGCGCCCCTCCACGAGGTTGTTCTATTCTGCAGTCAGCACCCCATTGTTCTTATTACTATAGACTTATAAGTTTTCATATCCAGTAGGCTCCTTTCCTTGATATGTTCACAGTTTATTCTAAGTGAAGGGACATCCTTCATGGCATTTCAACTCTGACTTGCTCTAATAGAGTTTATACCCTAAGATCCCTCTGGACTCAAAAGTCTGCTCTCTGCAAAAGCTTCTATTCCAGGGCCGCCAGGTACGGCTGTGCAGGTTGTGCACTATACAACTACCTGGTCTCCAGGTACATCACAGTCCTGTGTGCCAGATTTTCATATTTACAGTATTTTGTTGGTTTCTAAGATGCACATTGGTTCACGTTTCTAACGTCTCTGAAATCAGGGTGCACCTCACATGGGTGACATGCCATAACTTGATTAGCAGTGTGAGAAACGGTGATGTTACACCACTTCAGGCAAGACACAGCTAGGAAGAGGCAGAGCTGGGATTTGAACCCTGCAAGACCGGCCCACAATGCGGGGGCTTGTGCTCCATATTTGGAGGGAACCCTGGGTCGAGTCATTGGGAAGAAAAAAAAATATTTGCCATAGTGTGTAAGCATGTGTGCAGGTGCTGGTAAGCAAAAGCAAGTGGGCAGGATGGGGTTGGAGAAAGACCCACCGCCCCTCCCTCTTGCCCAGCTCTTCCTTCTGGAGGAGATGCGAGAGCGCAAGTTCGATGGCTTTGCCCGCACCATCCAGAAGGCCTGGAGGCGCCATGTGGCAGTCCGGAAGTACGAGGAGATGCGGGAGGAAGGTGAGAGGCCACAGGTGGGAGGCTCAGGGTGGGGACAGGTGGACTTGGAGGAGCCAGGCCACAACCTCTGCCCCTGACCCGGTGTCCCCACAGCTTCCAACATCCTGCTGAACAAGAAGGAGCGGAGACGGAACAGCATTAATCGGAACTTCGTTGGGGACTACCTAGGGCTTGAGGAGCGGCCGGAGCTGCGTCAGTTCTTGGGCAAGAGGGAACGCGTGGACTTCGCTGACTCGGTCACCAAGTACGACCGCCGCTTCAAGGTGAGGCTCTAACAGGTGGGCGCGTCTGGGACCCTGGCCCCAGCCTGGCAACCCCACCAGAGGCGCCCCCTCAGCTGGCCCAGACACACCTGTCCACTGGTATATATTCACCTAGCCTAGATACACCTGCCCCATCACAGATACACCCTCAACTGGGCCAGACACACCTGTGCACAGGTACACACGCAACTAGCTTAGATACGTCTGCTATTAAGCAGGCCCTCATGGAGCCCAGACACACCTGTCCTTCGCATACACCGTCACCTGGCCAGACACAGCTGTCTGCAATTATACACGTCCCTCGCCCAGAAGCCCTGACCGTAGGGCCACCCCCATTCGCCCTGGACACACCTGTCCATTAGGTATACCCTCAGCCAGTCTAGATAGGTATGTCAATTAGATGTATCTTCATCTGGCCCAGATACACCTGTGCCCAGGTACACTCTCATCTGGCCTGGGCATCCAGCAGCTATGCATCCGCCTCTCCTGTACCTGTTCCCTGGCCCGGGAATCCCTCCCTAGCCAATATACCCGTACTTAACCTCCTATCTCTTACATAATGCAATTCCTCATATACCTTCACGTGGAGGGAAACACTCAGCTGACCTGTCCTTCCCCTGCCTGAGGTTGATCCCCTGGAGCCAGGTGGCCCGTGCCCGGAGCTCTGGCCACCAGCTCTGCTCCTGCATCCTCACAGCCCATCAAAAGGGACTTGATCCTGACGCCCAAGTGTGTGTATATAATCGGACGGGAGAAGGTGAAGAAGGGACCAGAGAAGGGCCAGGTGCGTGAGGTCCTGAAGAAGAAGCTGGAGATCCAGGCCCTCCGGGGAGTTTCCCTCAGGTGAGGCCAGGTCCTCCCCCGCCCCAGTCGCCCTCATCTGCCCTCACACTTCTCACCCCATCTGTCACCCAGACCATCTAACGTACCGCTATACCCGTAACCCTCTCTTGGCCCTACCTGCCACCTTCCCCTGCCCCCACACTCATCCTCATGTGCCAAGAGCACCTGTCCCCTCACCTGACGCTTCTCTGGGATCACCTTCCCCAGCTCCTCGCCGCCACCTCTGGCCTTTCCCCCGCCTGCATCAGCCGTCACCTCCCTTCACCCGACCGTCCCCGTCGCACCTCACATTTCAGTCCTGCCCCCATCACCTGCCTTCCCTCCCACCCCTCCCCCAGCACGAGGCAGGACGACTTCTTCATCCTCCAAGAAGACGCCGCCGACAGCTTCCTGGAGACCGTCTTCAAGACCGAATTCGTCAGCCTCCTGAGCAAGCGCTTCGAGGAGGCGGCGCGGAGGGCGCTGCCCCTCACCTTCAGCGACACGTACGCCCCCGCCCCCGTCCCCGGGCTGGGCTGGGCACAGCGCCCCCTCTCCCGCCCCGCGGCCCCGGCCAGCTTGGGGAGTGGGCGTCCCCGCAGCTTCCTCCTCTCCCCCACAGACTACAGTTCCGAGTGAAGAAGGAGGGCTGGGGAGGAGGTGGCACCCGCAGTGTCACTTTCTCCCGTGGCTCCGGCGACGTGGCGATGCTCAAGGCTAGCGGCCGGTCCCTCACAGTCAGCGTGGGCGACGGGTTGCCCAAAAGCTCCAGTGAGTCTGCACAGAGCTGGGGGCGGAGCCAAAGAGGCGGAGCCTGAGGAGGCGGGGCCAGCAAGGGGACTAAGGCTGTGGGGGCGGAGCCACTGAGGTCGGCCCGGAGCAGGTGAGGGCCACGGAGGGGTGGGTAGAGAAAGACGTAGGGGTAAGGACGCAGCTACAGAGAGCGCAGGGTCAGCGAGGTAAGCAATGAATGGGAGAGAAACGTTGAGGGGGCGTGGCCATGCCAATAACCCCCCCCAACAGTGGGCGGACCTAGAAGACCCGAGCCAAAGAGAGGTGGGTCTTGCGGGGCTGAGCCACTTGTTGGGCAGAGTCTTCTCAGTAACTGCGGGGCGGGGTCGATGGGACAGCCAGGGAACCGGCGTGGGGGGGGGGGGGGGGTCTGGGGCGGAGCCACAGAGTGGACTGGACTTGTGGGCGGGGCCAAGAGCCTGCTGTGGTCTGGTCCTCACTCAAATTCCCAAATCCTTTCCCCTTTCAGAGCCTACACGGAAGGGAATGGCCCAAGGAAGACCTCGAAGGTCAGCCCAGGCCCCTACCCGGGCAGCCCCGGGGCCTCCCAGAGGTGAGGAGACGTGTCTTCCCTTGCCTCTCGTGTGCTCCAAGACCCAAGCCACGCCAGCTGTCAACAGATAGAGCAGACCACTCTGTTCTCTGCCTAGAACTCTCCACAGCTCCCCCTCTTCCACAGATTACAGACTAAGCTTAGTCGGATCTAGAGCCCTTCAGAAGCCAAACCCAGCTAACCACCAACCTTTCTCTCCTCCCATCGTATATTTCTGTCACTCGAGCTACATCTTACTCTGTCGGTTTAACAAATTTGTTCTTATCTCCAAGCCTTTGCTTGGGCTGTTTACTCCTCTTGTGTCGCACATTTTCACTTAGCTTGAGCTCCTACTCATCCTCCAAGACCCACCTACAGAAGAGGATGGGGGAAATCTTACCCCTGCAGAGCCTCCCTCTGGACCAGTCCTTACCATGCTGTGTTGAGCATATGACTGGTTGCCTCCTCCCTCAGCCTGGGATCTTGGGAGCTAAGTCCTCCCCAAATGCTACCTTCACCCTGATAAATGCTCCCACTCTTCCTCCTGCAACAGGCCTGGGCCACAATGGGGTGCCTCCTTCTGCCAGAAGTGGGCCCCTGCCCCTGGAGATCCCATCTGGAAGGGGCTCCCAGCAGCCTTTCCGGGGCCCTCCATCCTCAGCCCTGAGGGCCAGTAGACGCCCCCGGGCAAGGCCCCCCTCGGAACACAACACAGAATTCCTTAATGTGCCTGACCAGGGTGTGGCAGGGTAAGTGAGTTATAAGGAGAACCCCAGGAGGTGGACAGGGGGCAGGGGAGTGTCTGGGCTGTGATGACGCCTCCCTGTGCCCACAGCATGCAGAGAAAGCGCAGTGTGGGGCAGCGACCTGAGCCGGGCGTTGGCCGACCCAAGCCCCAACCTCGGATGCATGGCCCGCGGTGCCGGGCACTGTACCAGTACGTGGGCCAAGATGTGGACGAGCTGAGTTTCAACGTGAACGAGGTTATCGAGATCCTCATGGAAGGTGTGTGTCCCAGGCCATAGAGGGGAAGAGTCAGAACCCTGACACAGCCAGGCAACACCCCATTCCTGCACACCCTTCCCAAGGAGAACGGAAACAACCAGCGCCCACTAAAGATATGCTCTTCCGAGCTGGTGACTGCATAGGCTAGAAGGCCTTGGGTCTGAAGTTTCCCTCCTAGGACACTGGGGGCCTGGCCTCCCAGCAGCATGACCAATCCCTGGGGCCTCATTTTTCTCTCCTGTCGAGCACAGTGCTAATAGCAGAACCTACCTCACCCCTTGTCTGGATGGGCCAGGCCACCTTCCTACCTTACTCCACTGGGCTGCCCCCCACCCAGAGGGGCTTGGAACTCAGCAGCATCCTCTGTGGGTAAATGGGGAGCCCCAAAGGGGTCACTCACTGGTCCATCATGGGGAATGAGGGGAGGCACCTGTAGAAAGAGATGAGGGACGAGCACAAGAGAATGGAATAGAACATGACAGAGTGTGAGGCAGTAGCAAGAAAAACCACTTGTCCGTCCATCCCTCCCTCCTTTCCATCTGTTGACAGTTCTCTTTTCAATGTCTGCCTTCTGCCACACCAGTGGCAATGACTAAAACAGGCAGGGAGCCAGCATGAAGGCTTTCTCCTAGATGGGCTGGACACCGCCTCACGCTCCCTTCTCACCCACAGATGCCTCAGGCTGGTGGAAAGGCCGGCTGCATGGCCAGGAGGGCCTCTTCCCAGGAAACTACGTGGAGAAGATCTGAGAGGGGGCCCAGATTCTGCCTCCTGCCTGCCCGCAGGAGGGGGAACCGGGGAACCAGGCCCCGCCGGCGAGGGCCTCATTTTCCTTGGCTGCTTTAGCCCGAAGGTCCAGCCCAGTGGCCTCCAGCCCAGCCCAGCCTAACCCAGGCCCTGGGTCTGGGGGTCACCACCGCAGCCCCCCCAGGGCCCTGGCCTCCCCCGTGTCACACACGTTGCCTCCTGTGTCAAACAGGGCTAACTGCATGAATCTACCTCCCAGCTGCCTTGTGAGTATAAATGAGTAATGTCCTGTCGGCAAAGTGCCACAGTTGGGGACACCTTGACAAGAAAGACTCCCCTTCTTCTGTCATCACTAAGGCAATAAACATTTGCCAGGTGAAAGTGTGAATTAATTTGCCTTCTCACAAGGCTGAGGGAGAAGCTGCAAATACTCCAAAACTGGGAGCCGGGAGAAATTTTGTCACTTGCCTGAGATCCCTCAGAGCCAAGGCTTGAACTCGTATATACCCCCCACCCCATCTCTCCCAAAGGTGGAGTTTGTCCCACCTGCCTGCTCTTGGCCTTTTGCATCCCAGCCTTCCTGTAGAAAATAGCCTGGGGGGTCCTGTCAGCTTTGAATCTGCAGGCCCCAAAGCCATCGGGGACCTGATTGGACCCTGAGGAAGGAGGCAGGTCCCACATGGCCCATCACCATCCAGTCTGGGCCAACCCTGGCCCCTGCACCTGCCCCCCCTCCCCCCCGCCCCGTGTCTGTGCCTTCTTAGCCCTCCCTCACCTGGGGTCAGGACAAGTTCTGATATGCAAGGGCCCTGGCTTTCCACACCTATTGCCATGGATTTAGGGGGTCAGCCTCACTACTGGTCTCCCCAGATGCTTCCAAGCCAGTGATGGAGTCTGAGCCTTTGGGGATCCTGCCATGGGCTTAAGTATCCCGACTTTCCAAACGGACACCCACTCTGGGCTCAGACCCTCAAGGAGCAGTCAGTCTGGGAGAGACGGAGCCAAGCCGGTGGGGTCAGGACTGGGTCAGAGAAGGGGCAGGGGCTGGGGCAGGGGAAGGGGACGCAGAGAGAGAGTGGGCATTGCTGGAGGAGGCAAGAAGGAAGAAAAGGGTTTGGGGTCAGCAGATCTTGATGGCAAACGCCACATACAACGATCCAGGCTGTGACAGGAGAACTCAGGCAGGGGACACCTACCCAGCCGGGAAGGATGGGAGACGGGCTCTCAGAGAAAGACTGGCCAGTAGCCCCTTCTGCAGGATCTGAACCCTCTCTCTTCTGTCCCTAACTTGGGAAGCTGAGTGTGGCTGAAAAAAGAGAAAAAAAAATAAATCCCAAGGTTGCCACTGGGTCTCAACAGCTCTTTTATTCACCAATCATTATACAGAAGCACTTACCCATTCCCCTGAATGTCCCTGGTTTCCTCCATCTCTGATTTCCGTCCCTCCACTGCCCAGCCACCCCCGTGTATGCCTCTCTCTGCAACACTTAGATGTTAGAACAGGCTGGGGAGAAAGGGCGGGAGCCACCAACCTCATCAGCTGGACATTCTCTGGGGCTAAAGAGGAACTGGGGCGTCCTCTTCCACCTCCCTACTCTCTCCTTGCACTCACCATGCAGTCTGCCTGCCCTGACATTTTGGGGTACAGCCCTCGGGCCCCACCGCCATGGCGGTCACCCCATTTACAGGAAGTAGGGCCTTCTGGGCCTCACATCTAGGTTACAGCATCTTCAGACTGCAAACCTCAATCGCCTTGGCCCTGCCCACTCCACAGCCCCACATCCTGTTGACTTAGAGAATTTCTTAAGCCTGGCCTCTCCTCTCCCTTCCTTGGGTCCGTGTCCTTCTGAGGCCTCACCCCACCCTTCCCCAGGTTGCACTAGCCTCCTCTCCACACACAAACGCACCTCCACCCTGTGTCAAATGATCTGTTTTGGTTTTTTTTTTTTAGATTACTGAGCTTTTCACTGTATTCATTATCATCAAAACCACATTTTTTTAAAAAATTCAAACAGCACAAAGTATTAAAAGACTGTCTCTCCCTCACTTAAAAAATCTGTTCCCCTCCCCACTTTTTTACTGTCTCCTTCTAATGGTATTCTCCACATATAAAGGCACATGGGTACCTCTTCTGTACACAGATGGAAATACACTGCACATAAAGTCTACACTTGCCAGAACGCAAGATACCTCTGGAACGTTAAATAATGCCTTATAGAGACCTGAGATCAAAGATTCACTTTCCCATCCCCCTCAACTGCCCATCCTCCCAACAACAATCAGGAATCAGATGGTGGACCTCCCCCTGCTAAAAATACATCAATGGTAAGAATAGAAACCACACTCCTCTCTATGGTTCATGAGGTCCTGTGTGACCCTCCGTGCACCAAGTTCACTTTCTGACCTCCACACTCTGCCTCCACTCTGTTCCAGCAGTGAGCTGATCTCCTTACTGGTCCTTGAGAAAGACAAGCTTGTCCCTCCCCACCTCGGGACATTTGTACAGCTATCCACTTCCAGAGTCGCCTGACCTTCCATTTGCTCACATCTTCCTGACCAGCTCAAAAGTCAACTCACAGAGAGACTTCCCTCCTTCCTGTGTGTGCCTGTGTGTGTGTGTGTGTGTGTGTGTGTGTGTGTGTGTGTGTGTTTTCCTCTGTAGCAGTTAAAACACTAAGGTGGTTTTCTGGATTTGTTGACTCATCGTCTGTTTCCCCATTTTAAAATGTGAGCAAGCCCCTGAGGGCAAGGATGTTTGTCCTGTCCTCTGAGTCCCCAACGCCTAGCACACAGTAGGCGCTCAAGGAATGTAGGATGGATAGGTGACTTATTCCACGCCTGTCCACCCAGGGGTCTCCCTCCTTAGGCTACACCTGTCCGGAGGACAAGCGTTTGCTTCCGGCCCCTGGCTATCACAGGGAGCCCATTCCAACTTCAGAACTCAATGCACTGCAAATTTTCACGATCACTGCCACTTTCTCTCGAGGTGGCCCAATCAACACTCCCTCTTCAAAAAGGAGAGCAGCTAAGAGCTGGTGACGGGACGGGATAAAGGTACCCATTTTGCAGATGACAACAAGGGCCCGGAAGGATTTTTCCACAAGATCTCTGAGCACAGGGTCTTTAAAGGCTGTGCTTGCAAACCCGCAGCACCGCCTCCTCCAGGAGGACCCGGCCCGAAGGCCCCGCCCCCCTAGGGGCGCTGTGCGCAGGCCCCGCCCCCCTAGGGGCGCTGTGCGCAGGCCCCGCCCCCGATCTCGCGAGAGCTGGGAGGTGGAAAATGGCGTCGACGTGAGCACGAGCCCGCGGCCGCCCAGGGAGTCGCCGCAGCCTCAGCCGGAGCCACAGGAGCCGCAGGAACAAGAGGCTGAGCAGGGTCGAGGATGGTGAGCGCGGCGTTGCGGGTGCGGGCGCGGCGAACCAGCGGGTGCTGGCGGGGCGCGGCCGTGTCGCACGCGCACCGTCCGGCCGACCCCGCCCCCACATCCGGGCCTTCGCTGGTCGCTGGCTGTCACTTGGGGAACACCCCACCCCCGGCTTCCTGGCCCCGCTTCGACTGGGCCACGCCTACAGGACTCAGGCTCCGCCCCTGTTCCTTATGCATCCGGGCCCCTAGCACCTCCGGGTTTGGCTGCCCAGCTGCAGCCCGGTGGGTGTGTGTGTTTCCGTTCGGAGACAGTCCGCTTGATCCCTTCTGGCCTCTCCACGGTGTTCCTAGCGGCGCCGTGTTCGGAGCCTGGTCTTTGTAACCTGCGCCCCGCCCGCACCCCGTAGGCCACGGCCCTGCCCCCAAGTTAGGGACGAGGGACTGCTGTCTTCACAGGAGTTAATTCCTGACAGATACGCCTTTCTGCAGCTGGGACACCTCCCAGCTCCCTCCCAGAGGATGGAACACAGGAGGTTCAGTCCACCCTTATCCCCTACCCGCCCCTGATGGTGACTCCTTAGGATTGGGGCTGACGGGGTGATTTCTCAAGGGCGTTTGCTGCTTCAGGAATGTCCACAGGTCTTGGCGGGGTGGGAGGGGTTCCCATGGCTGGCCCAGGCCGACCTGGGCCCAGAGGGGTTCTCCCTGCCTTTTCCTTCCACTAGGAGGAGGAACCCTCGGGGCCCAACCCGGACATGCCGGCCCCTGCAGAGCCCAGCTTCAGTGAGACTGACAAGGAGGTGTTGTCCCCAGTTGCGGCTGCAGCAGCCACTTCCTCTTCCATGGGGGAGGAGCCAGGCCCTGAAAGGGCATCCACACCCCCAGTGTGGGACCGAGGAGGGCCTGGGGGGACCCAGCAGGGTGCCCCCTCAGCCCCAGACAGTGTTCAGCCCGGTCCTGGATCCAGCCTTGGCCCGACCAGCACCGTCCCTGGGACCAGCGAGGACCTGAGGCCTCCCAGACGACGCCAACAACCAGGTGATCTGTGATGGAGCCTTCTGGGGGCTCACAGGCCTTGGAACAATTAAGATGAATACAGATTATCTCCAGACTTGGGCCCCATCTAGAGGGAGTCACATTTACTGAGCACCAAGCGTAAGCCCGGCTGTGGCTACAATGATGAGCCAGCCAACCCAGTCCCTGCTCTCTGGCAGCTCCGCCTGCTGGGGGAAACAGATGGTAAAGGCCCTGGTAAGGAACCAGTAGGGTAATTCCAGCCTCATATATGCCTCTCTGGGGCAGAACTCGACATGTGGCCAGGGGAAGAGTGGGTGACACCCCCCTTTCCGTGCATCCTGCAGGGAAGCAGATACCCTGCTCCAGCCCTGGCTGCTGTCTCAGTTTCCCCAGTGTTCGAGACCTGGCACAACATCTGCGTACCCACTGCCCACCCACACAGTCCCTGGAAGGTAGGGCCAGAGTAGGGGGTGGGAGGCAGGCAGAGCCTTCAGGCCGGCCTTGGCCATCCCTCTCCACTCCTCTGGCCTTTCATCCCTGCCAGGCAAGCTCTTCCGCTGTTCCGCCCTGAGCTGCACGGAGACCTTCCCCAGCATGCAGGAACTGGTGGCACATGGCAAACTGCACTACAAACCCAACCGCTACTTCAAGTGAGACACTGACTATCCCGACTTCCCCTGGTGCTCGGTGATCAGGCCCCTGGCTGCTCCTTCCACCCCTGATTTGATCGCCACTACCTGGGGTCCAGGCCTTTCTCCCTTCCTAGTCGAGGGTGTGGGGGTGGGTGAGTCTGGCAGTGGGTGTGGCCTCGGGCCCTTACCTGCCTCCAAAGAGAGACTGGTTACTGGAGCGAGTCCCAGACACTCGAAGGGCGGAGCTCGGAAAGGGCGGGGCATGTCGTGTGTGTCTTCATCCCGTCCCTCCTGACCTTCTTAGAAGAAAACTGGCCACCTAAGTCAAAATTCAGACTTCCTTCCTCGTTTTCCCAGGGCAAGGACCCGGAGGGGTCCGGAAGGGTCGCGGCCACATTGGGGGGCGCTTAGAGCCACCTTCTCCCCCACGCAAGTGGGGGTTCTGTGATTTGGGCCTTAGGCTCCCTTACCACCCTCGTGCGGCGGCTCCCCAGGTAGCATCGGATAGGCCCTACCCTCGCCCCCCAGGAGACCCAGCCCAGTCCTATGCCTGCCCCCAGGTGTGAGAACTGCCTCCTGCGCTTCCGCACGCACCGCTCTCTCTTCAAGCACCTGCATGTTTGCGCCGAGCATGCGCAGAGCCCAGCCCCGCCGCCACCCCCCGCCCTGGACAAGGAGCCACCGGCGCCTGAGCGTCCCCCGGAGTCCGACACTGCTTCGGCGCCCGGCCTGCCGTTCCCGCTGCTCGAGCCCTTCACGACCCCCGCCCCTGCCCCCACCGGGCCCTTCCTGCCCTACTTGAACCCCGCGCCCTTTGGCCTAAGTCCCCCACGCCTGCGCCCTTTCCTGGCCGCGGCGCCCGGGCCGCCCGCCTCCAGCGCCGCAGTCTGGAAAAAGAGCCAAGGTGAGTGTGGGAACAGCGCTGCCTGAAGGGTGAGCCGGGCTTACCCAGACTTCTGACCTTGATCCGCCCGTTTATCTCAGGTGCCGGCGGCAGCCCGCGAAGACCCCAGGGCGGCTCCGACGCGCCCTCAGGTGCGTGCAGGTGACCACCAGGGAGGGGTGGAGGGGATTTTTCTGTTCTGCGCCCTGTGGGCCCCGGGGATGCTGGGAAGCAGCGTTGCCCGCCCCTTCCCAGGTGGCCAGAGCTGCCACCCCCGAAATACAAAATTTTTGCCTTAAAAATTATTAGCCCCTGAGCCTTCATCTGCGCCGGCGTTTCCGTGTAAAACCCGCGCCCGCTTCACAAGTCCTTTGCCCTGCGGTGGTTCCAGGGACGGGAGTGGGGGATTCGGATAAGTCAAGTTTAGTGCGGCCCCCCACCCCCAATTACAGGAGGGAACACGCTCGGGAGCAATGGATCAGCCAGGCCAGACAAGCCAGGTGCCCGGGAGCTGATGGGGAGGCGGGGAAAGGTCTGACCCGCACTCGTCCACGTCTACCATCCTTGGGGGTGGCCGGGACTGACGGGGTCCCGCCTGCCCGCAGGGCACGCGGCCCCGAGCCGCATCGTGTGGGAGCACACACGCGGCCGCTACTCGTGCATGCAGTGCGCCTTTTCCACGGCCTCGCGGCCCGCCATGACACTGCATCTGGAGGACCACCGCCCCATCGCCCCCGCGGCCCCGGGGCCCGGGCAGCCGCGCCCCGACGCGCGGGCGGGTAAGGCGGAGGAGCGCTCGAGTGGGGAGGGCGGGGACCCCGAGGCGAGGGGCGGGGCCGAGGCTCAGGCGACCCCTCCTCTGCCCCACCCAGACCCGGTCCCGCTTGCACCCAAGGTGTCTCCGCTGCTGTCAGAGGGGGAGTGTCCGGTTTTCTCGCCGTTCTGAATCCCGCCGCGGTGGGGAGGGGGGGGGAGTTGGACTGTAGGATGGGGGTAGTTTTGTAATTAATGGGGCAGGGGAGGGGGAACAATAAAGGACGCGCGATGAGCCAGCCTGTGCTGTGTCTGGGTCCCTTGCCCCTCCGATGCATAGCCGGCCAGTCTAGCAGTCATGGGGTGCGCACACCCTGAGAGGCGACAAGCCTCCCCTCAACCTCACTATTACCCCTCACCTTGACACTGGGACTCAGGTCTCCAGTTCAGTGCCACCGTCTTCAGCTGTAGCTGGGACTGCCGGTGCCCCTTGTCTTGTCCCACCATTTCCGGAAACCAGATGGGATGGAAACCTCGCTTTTAGTAAGTCCCAGGACAGGCTGGGAGGTTGGTCCTGAGAAAGTACTGGGGCTGGCCCTGCTGGAGCCGCCCCCCACCCACATTCCTGAAGCCAGTTCAGACTCACAGGTGACAAGGTTGAGGTGATGGTGCCAGGGTCCCCAGGCGTGGGCACTGTCAGCCTGGGGGCTCTGGTTTGGTCTTTGTCCCTGTCCTCCAAACTCTGCTCTTGGCCGCCTGCTTTCACTTCTGCCCCTGTGTCAGCTCTGAGGAAGAGGGCGGGTCAAAGCCAACCCTGGGGATCCTGGACTTCCTCCCTCCTCACCCCTCCCCTCTCTGCCTTCCAGCCACTAGGATCTCCTCTTCCCTTCATGGGAAATCAGTCCCGGGTCAAGCTTCAAAATCTGGGGCCACACTGCTGTCCCAGCCCTGTTGTCACCAAAACCCAGTGAGCCAAGCCTCCGGAATGTGGACGTCTTAAACGCATGTTGTTGGCAGCTGCCCCTCAGAAGCTAGTTTTACTTCCTGCATCTTGCTCCCGTCCAGCCCGGGGTCCTTTAGCTTAGGCCCCTGACCCTCTTCCCCCACTCCCAACCCCGGTACCTGAAGCAACCTCTCCTGTCCTTCCCCCCCAAGTCTGAACACCACTGAAAACGGTTTCTTCTCGTGCCTGCCTGGTAGCCTTCAGTGGCTCCCCGTGGCTCTCTGGATGAAGGCCTTGTTCTAATAACCCACAAGGTTCCATCCTGAATCTCCCCACCCACTCCCTCATCCCTCTCCTCTTCCTCATCATCCTCTTCCTGGGGAACATAGACCTTCTATGAGCAAGAACTCGCTAACCTCCTTGCAGTTTAACAGCTCCAAGCTCTAGAGGCCCTTCTGCTTCTCCTGAAGGGGGCGCTGATCAGAGTGCCCTTAGGATCAGCCCACCTACACTCAAGGGCCTGCCTGCCCACCCGCCTGTGTTTGGGCTTCAGGGCTGCGGTGTCATTGATGGGCTGTAGCGGACTCAGCTGGCTCAGGCCCGGTGTCTGTTCTGCCAGTACTTCGGGCCCACGCTGAGGCAAGTATCACTCGGCACCCGCTGTGGGACCAGCTGGGCCATCAGGGGACCTTGGGGCTCCAGCCCCGTGAGCTCTCCTCTTCCAGTTGGAAGCTTTGGAACCAGGACTTTGTGACCCTGGAGAAGACACAACCTCCCTGCATCTCACTTTGCTAGTCCTTAAGATGGGTGTCAGGATGCTTCTTACCCTCTGGAGTCCTTGTGAAGATTCGAACAGGGACTGGGGAGGGAGGAGGGGGCTTGGGAAATGTTTGTGAATGACATCCCTATGGCTACCAAACCCATGGCTGCCTAGGACACCCCCAATGGAGAACCACGGGAGGGAGGGAGGTGGGGTCAAGGGGCCCATTTTACAGCTAGAGAAGGTGAGGCTTGGAGGGTAAGATGACTGAGCCAGGCCCAGTTCAGTTCCCTTACCGATTCCGTACCACCCTAGAAGTTGAGGACGGTTCCCATAAGGTGGTGTCTATAAGAAAACCCAGGGAGTGAGGTTCAAAGGACACCTTCCCCTTTTCCCACATCTCCAGGGACAGGGTTCAGGGTTCCCTCTCCCCCAGGACCCCAATCTGTCTCAAGGTATCAGCGTCCCTTCCCCATCAGGCCCTGCCATTCAGCCACCCCCAAATCCAGGCAGTGCTACTTCTCAGTCTCTCAGGACATTTCCAGACGGTCCCAAGGCCAATATCTTGGTCCAGGTACCCCCCCCCCCCCCTGCCGTCACCCATGTAAAGGCAACAGCCCCTCCTGGGGACAGTGTTCCCCGACCCCACAGCACCCTACGCTGAGTGCCCAGAGGCCTAGGGAGCTGGATCATGATGTGGCCTGTGCACCCTGCTCACTTCAAAAGCAACTTCCTACCCTTGCCCCCTCCCAACTCCTATCCAACTTTGTGAGCTCAACTGGGACATCTCCCAGTGGCTCTCATGGGCTTCCAGAGCCCCTGCCCTCCCTCTGGCGAACTGATCCGTGGGAGGGCCCTCCCCACCCGCCAGAGTCGTCTTCTTACGGCCCCAGCTCTGCCCAGCAGAGGGCGCCCTGGAGTGTCGGTCTTGAAGGGAGATGAAGGAGAGGGCAGTTACCCACTTTGCCAGGCTGGCCCGGGGAAGGGGCGGGGGTAGGTTGATAAGAGACTGCGGGTTTACAGTGAAGAGCGAGCCTCTCCAGGCAGCTTACGTCAGCTGGGTCTGGCCAGGTGCCTGTGCACCGGCTGGCAGGCGTCCAGCACCAGCCCCATCACCACCAGACTGGGGGAGGGGAGTAAGGTTCATGGGTGTGCGTCCTAGAGCCCTGCCTTGGACCTGGATTCGAGCACCCCCATCCCAGGCCCCCAGCTCCTCCCTGTGCCCCTCAACCCCCAGGATTGGCTGCCCACGTGCTCAGTCCTCCTTGGCTGCGTGCACTTGGACCGCATGTGGCTGAACATGGAGACCACCATCCTGTCTGTCCCAGGACCACAACCAGGGCAGCCAGGTGCATGACCCTGCTCTTGCGCAAGGATCGGACACGCCTGCTCTGGCTCCCCACCCCCACCCCGTTTCCGAACCCAGGGACCCCACCTTAGCCCAGAGTTCCACAGGCTTACTGAGCCAACACCTTCCCATGCCCAACCGCCCCCCACCACCACTGAAACCCGGGAGCAGATCCTGGGCCGCGGGCACTTCAGGCTTCAGCTTCCTCAACCATCTGTGGAGCCTCCTGTCCAAGTTCATGGCGGTGCTTTGTAGACCAGGCCAGACCACCTGGAAATCTCTAAACACAAAGAGGGGAGAGGGGAAAACACCTCCTGGGGGCCATGGGGGAATGGGGTTTGCCAGGGCGGGACCCTCCAAACTGCGAGTTCCAGGCCGTGGGTATGCACATGGTGGGGGCCTGGCTTTGGAGCCTGGGAAGTCACCAGCTTGTCACCAGCGTTCAGTCCTTCAGCTTATCTTGATTGGGCACCTATTGTGTGCTCCTGGCCAGTAACTGCCTGTTTCATGCATTTCCCTCACTCAGTGAACACTGGGAGGGTCACGCAGCCTGCGACCAACCTGTGCTGGCTGGTCCCGGAGACCCCAGGACCCACTCTCATCATCCCTGGTCTCCCAGGACTCCTGTTCCAAGGAGGACCCACCTCTGGGAATGTGACCCAGGGTGCATGCCTACCAGTACGGGGATGGGGATGGGCAGGCACTGAGGCTCCAGAACCCCCAAGCTGTGCATCTTAAAAGAGGACACAGGCAGAGTCCTTTCCGATGGCACGGCCTGTGGCTTCCTCGGCATGGAGGTAATGGACGGGTCCGGCTGGGAATGCACTGTCCTCAAGACAGACTGGATCGTTCTACACCCTCGCTACTCCAGGGCATCACCTGGGATGTCTAGAAATCTGAGGCTCCACCATGGGCCAGAGGCAAAACCTGCACTTTAATGGGGTCTTAGGGTGACTTGTGGACACATGAGAATCAGCCCTCAGTGTTTAAGAAATCCCCAGGCTCAGGGCTCCTGGCTGGCTCAGTCAGAGGAATGTGAGTCTTGACCTCGAGGTTGTGAGTTCAAGGCCCAAGTTGGGTCTAGAGGGTCACTTAAATAAGCTTTTAAAGAAAGAAATCCCCAGGCTCAGACCAATTAAGTCAGAATCTCCAGGAGCTTCCTTCTGTCTCTCTGTAAACTCCTAAAGCTATGTCCATGTAGAGCTAAACTTGAGAATCAGGGCTCTGCACTCTCCCTTTGTCTGTGTGTCCAAAGTCCCTGACCTCCAGCAGACCAAGCCCTGTGGTGAGGGCTCGCCTCTGGCTGGCTGGGCCGCACACCCCCACAGGACTAGTTTTGCCCACTCCCTCGGCCCCCCTTCACTGCTCTCCCTGCTGCCTCTGTTCTTCTCCCTGCCCTCAGTCTCCCCCCCTCCCCAAGGGGACAAGGCCTTAGCTAAAACCCACGCAAGCCACCCACCCCCCAAATCTGCCACCCCAGCTGGGCCCTCGGCCCCCCACAACCGTCCACGACCCATGTGACATGTGCACCTCTAATAGGGAAGTCCTGCTCGGAGCTGAGAACCCAGCAGTGGGGAAGTGGGGAAACGAGGCAGGCGGATGAGGCAACAAGAGCCGGCAGAAGGGCCACCCATCGCGCTCTCAACTCCCGAGTCTCCGGGCCCAGAGCTCCCCTCCCAAGGAGGCCCTCACAGCCACGCACAGAGTCCTCCCCGGAGACCACAAGTCGGCCAGCCCCCAGAACCACAGAGTCAAGCAACTGGTGACCGTGTTGGGCATGTGCTGACAGCCAATACAAGCAGCACGGACACCACGGAGACAGCAGCAGGCAGGACAGGAACTCAAGCGCCAGGCAGGATCTGGGGACAGGCAGAGGCTGTCTCCGCCTCCTTTCCTTCCTCCTCTGCCCTCCCAACCCGGCCAGCATCCCCCACCCGCCTGGGGCCCGTGGAGCAGAAGCCACAGTCACTTCCTGAAGGCAGCAGCCCAGCTCAGGTCCCACTTGCCCTGTGGCCCATCACCCGCCTGCAGCCATGGTGAGTGAACCCCCAACCCTAGGCGACCCCACCCCACCCGGGGAAACGGCAGAGACCATCACAAAGACCGAGGTGGGAAGCTGCCAGGATGTACCACTGGGACAGCTGGAGCCCCAAGGGGCCTGTGGCCCAGGCTGGGACTGGGACTTTAATAGGGGGACAGGCAGACAGCCCGGACTACTCTTCTCCCAGGTCAGCATGAACAGCGACCTGGGGACGGGCCAGGGTGAACAGAGGGGCTTCCTGCAGGTGACAGACTGGGTCATGTACCTGCCACCCACCCCCACCCCAGCAGTCACCCGAGACGTAAGCTGCTGACCCTGATTTCTCTAGTCCTGTGCGTGACCTGGGAATCCTTCCCCCAACCCGCCTGGAGGGGGCCTTTAGTAGACGCATTTCAGGCCCCAGGTGGGAATCACTACCTTTCCTTGTTCTCTGGATGGGGAAAGTGAGGCACGACCAGGAGCACAGTCCCCGTGGTTCTGCCCTAACCACCCACACCCCAGTCTCCTAGGGTCCAGGTGAAGCCAGGCCTGGAGGCCTGCAGCGGGGCCCCCTCTGGTCAGAGCAGGCCTGGCCTACGGGTGTACCCCACCTCTGTCTGGGACGGAGAGCATGGGGCTGGTGGAGACGGTGTCTGGGACATGAGGTGTGCCACCAATGGGGCACGGGCCCAAGCGGGCCGCTGCTTGGGCCGGCCTGCTGCTTCTCCTGGGTGCCATCCACTGGGAGTGCCCCGACCACCAACAGAGGGTATCTGGGGCTGTTAGAGTCTGACCCCACGTGCTTCCAGGTCTCTTGTCTCTCCACATCTCTCTGCACGAGTCTGTGACGATCAGACTCCGCGTGGCTGAGTGTGCGCCTGTGCACCCTGTGTATTTCAGTGAGTACCTACCGAGCACCAGCAGCGTGCCGTGCTTTGGGAGGACAGCAACAAGGGAGCCCAGTCGCTGGCCTTCCACTGGGGCTGAGGGGCAGAGAGAACAAAAACAAAAAAGCCAAGGCACACCAGTGAAACAACGTAAAATAAAACCGTATGATACACAGTGGCAGGCACTGAGAGAAAAATGTAGGTCGGGGAGAATGGAGAGTTCTCCGAAGGGGAAATCGGTTTTTTTAAATGAGGGTGGTCTGTGAGGAAGGCGCCTCCAGTAAGAAAATATCCGCAGAGACCTGCAGGTGGAAGAGGCAAGAAGCAGACTAGGGGGAGAAGTGTCCCAGGTAAGGGGCAGGACGAAGGCCCCAGAAGAGGGGTCGGGGCTGGGGGGAAAGGGAGCAGGGGTGAGGCGGAGGGCAGGCCGAGGTAACCCGGTAAGGGAGACGGATCGGCAGTTTCGGGCCTTCAGGATATCTTTAGCTTTTACCGTGGGGAAATGACGCAGCGCGGCCAGATTCGGAGCAGAGGCTGTTCCTCCGGCTGCTGTGGGAGAGGGTTCTGGCCAGAGATGGGGGTGCGGGGGGCAGAGTGGAGGCAGGAGACCAGGGAGGAGCCTGCGTTCCTCCAGCCAGCACAACAGTGGCACAGGCAGTGAGAAATGGCTGGATTCTGGATAGTTTTGAAATTAGACGAGAAGGCACTAGGGACGTGGAACGCGGAAGCACAGGACATCTCAAGGACACTCAGAACACTTCACCAACCGAAAGGGAGGGCTATGGGAGCAGCAGGCTATGGCAGAGCATCGGGAGGCTGAGTTCTGATGGGGGCGAGGTTGAGGGCATATGCAGTGCCTCAGAGGAGATATCGGGACTCCGGGGAGCCTGGAAACAAATGTGGGAGGCCCTGGCCAACAGGAGAGCAAGCCAAGGACAAAGGATGGCCAAGAGGGCCTAGGAGAGACCCTGTGTGAAGCCCCGCCTGACTGGCTCCATGTCCCTTAGGGGAGCCATCAGGACTTCCGGAGCCTTCAAGCCAAGTTCCAGGCCTCTCAGCTCGACACCAGTGAACACCCCAAAAAACCCCCAAAGCCTGAGTTCAACAAACTTCTAAAGAAGTTTCCACCACCTGAGCCAAGCGAGCATCCCAAGAAGCCCCCGCAGCCCAGCTGTAACGATCTGCCTATGAAGCCCGCCGGACCCGAGCCGAAGGAGCCCTCCAAGAAGCTCCCACAGCTCAACGCCCCTCAGAAAGCTTTGCAGCCTGAGCCTGGCCATCCAGCCAGGCCCCCCCGAGAGCCCAAACCCAGTGCCCTCCCCAAGAAGCTCCAGCAGCCTGAGCCCAATGAGGCCACCCCAGACCCCTCACAGCCTGACTTCGGTACCTTTCCCAAGAAGCCCCCGCCGCCTGAGTTCAGTGTGCACCCCAGAAAGCCCCCGCAGCCTCAGGTCGGTGGCCTCCCTAAGAAACCCCTGCCACAGCCCGAGACCAGTGAGGTCCCTCAGACGCCCCCCTGGAAGCCTGAGCCCAAAGAGCTCCACCCCTACTCCTCACAGCCAGACCTCAGTACCCTTCCCAAGAAGCCCCCGCCGCCCGAGTTCAGTGTGCACCCCAGAAAGCCCCCGCAGCCTCAGGTCGGTGGCCTCCCTAGGAAATCCCTGCCACAGCCAGAGACCAGTGAGGTCCCTCAGACGCCCCCCTGGAAGCCCGAGTCCAGTGAACCCCACCCCCACCCCTCGAAGCCTGATTTCAGTACATTTCCCCAAAAGATCCCAGCCCCTCAGCTGAATGACTTCCCCAAGAAACTCCTGCACCCTGATTTTGGTGACCTCACCAGGAGGTCCTCAGAGCCTGAAGTCAGTGTGTTTCCCAAGCGGCCACGGCAGCCTGAATGCAAAGTGCCCTCCAAGAAGCCAGAGCTGGAGATCCTCCCCAGGGTGTCCTCAGAGCCCGAGTTTGGCCTGCTCCCCAGCAAGTTTCTGCAGCCTGAGTGCCAGCCCCACCGAAAGTTCTCGCAGCCTGAGTCCAGCGCTTTGCCCAAGAAGTACCTGCACACTGAGTTCCTTGGTGGTCTCCCTAAAAAGCCCCCCATCCCCAGCTCTGTTTCAGAGAGCTCACTCCCCAGTGCGGTCACAGGCTCCCGCCCCAGGCTCCCACTCAGCCCTGGCTTTGGAGCCAGGGAGCAGAGATCAGGAGCTCGCTCTCATAGTGGAGGGTCGAGGCTGGGCCTCAAATACGGCTACCCACCCCGGCGGAGGCCTCTGCCCTCGGTCAGCAGCCTGGGACCCCCTCCAGCCAAGCCCCCGCTGCCCCCTGGCCTCAGGGATGTCCAGAGCTTCTGGAAAGCCACAGCCACAGCCACAGGTGGGTCACGGCAAACCAGGCAGAGAGCTGGGGAAGAGGCTCCCTGGCAGGGCCTGCCTCCCTCCCGCTCTCATCCCTCCACAGCTCTGAGGAGGACCGGTTCTCCTGGGATCCACATCCAGGCCCAACAGACTGAAGACATCTGGCAGTGAGTGTGGGGAGTCCACGGGCCCTGGCGCAGATGGAAGGCTTGAAAGAGGCCCTTATCTCAGGTATTCCTCCAGGGACCAGGAAGAGGCCTATGAGCTGTATGACGACGTGGAGCCCACGGACGACTCCAGCCCCAGCCACAAGGGCAGAGGTTTGTTGGTGGGGCTGAGCCCTCAGCCAGACCATCCTGCCCAGGCATCTGGGCACCATTCATTGCAAGGGCATATTCTGCCATGCAGCGAGTGTGACGCCAAGGGACAACCCATCTCCCTGGCAGTGCCAGGGGACAAAGTAGAGGGCAGGAAGGACCTTTCAGAAAGTCAGACCAGCTCCTGATGGACAGAACAGGGAGGTAGGGCAGCCCAGAGGCCAAAAGCCAGGAAGCATAGTGTGGCCAGGGCAGGGGGTTGGCCCAGGGTGGTGGGAGAGAAGTCGTGAAAGAGCAGTGGAAGAGAAGAATCAGAGGACTTGGTGGCCATGTGATGCAGGGGTGAGTGGGAGCAAGCCAGCTCATGACATGGATGAGGCCCAAGATTCACCCCAATGCCTGGGCGCAGAGTGGAGGTATCCGTCAGCGGGGGACAAAGGGTCAGATTCCACAGACCTGTAGTGCTGGAGGTGCTGGCTGGACGTCCAGCGCAGACTTGGGCCTGAACTCAGGCGTGGGCTGGAGCCAGAGACCCCTGAGCCTGCAGGCCTAGACAGTCTGTGCTCTGGGGGTCTTAAGGAGCCTTGTCCCCTCTTCCCAGGTGGAGAGCGGGGTAATGGCAAAGCAGACATGTCTCCAGCCCAGCTGCAGGGTTAACGCCTTCACCAATTTTGAATGGGGGAAAAAGGGACTTGCATGCAAGCCCTGTAGGTGAGGGTCACTGAACACGCACAACCGCCCGCCCCCACGGCGACAGCATGCCCTACAGACAAAGTGAAAGCCTGAGGACCCGAGAAGCAACCTGCCCCAGTCCATACCGCCAGCACAAGGGAGCCCAGGCCCTGTGCTCCCAGACTGTTTCCTGCACTCTCTGGAAGGAGAGTTCTTCCTACAGGAGAACCTTAATTATCAAGGGTGCTTTGGGATGCTCCCCCTTCCCCCCTCCCCTCCTGCACCAGGTGTGCTGCCTCTACTACTCTTCCCTGAGCCCCTTCTGCTTCTCCGGGGCGTTCTTCAGGGGCTACTTGCAACACCCTCCGTTAGCAGAGCTTCCTGGCAGGGCTCCTTCTGCTTCCGCTCTGGTGAGGCTCTTGTGGCTGGGATCTGGGGGCCGCTCTTGGGGTCACAGACATGGGGAAAGGGAGTAATTGGCCATTCTTCTTCCAGCAGCCTTGCAGGCATGGCCCACCCCTTCCCCAATCCCAAACAGACCAGGAACCCACCTCTGCTCACTGTCCCTGCCTGTGGACAATCGTCTCCCCATTCCACGCCGGTCATTCTGCAAGCCTCCAATCAAATAGACCTCTCAAATCTCTCCCTTCTTGAAACACTACGTGTGGGCCCTCGCTGGTAGTATAGATTGTCCAAAGGCTACTTTGCCCTTTTCAAGTCTAGCCACTCATTCGGCCCCACTTTGGAGTGGTAGCAGGCCCGCTGCAGAGGTTCCTCACACCGCTGGGGGCTGCCCTGGAGGCCCTGGGGCCTATAGACCTAGCTCTTTCCCAGGATCTCAACAGGTCCCCCTCAGAGCCCGCCTTACCGGCGTGACCTGATCAGTCACACTGCCAGAAGTCTGGGCTGCAGGTGTGCCAAGTCTGCACTGCACCGGTTTTGCAGGGGCCCTGGGATGCCTCTGGGAGAAGGGGGAGCAGCGGGAGATAGTGTCCTGGGTAAGACTGTAGATGGCTTCATCATCTGAGCACTAGGCCAAGGCTGGAGTCTGGAGCAAAAAGCTGGCGGCTTCAGATTCTGGATCCTTCTTCACTCCACTGGTATTCATGAGGCTCTTGCCATAAGCCAAACCCCTGGCCAGCAGGTTCCTCGCTGGAAGGCTGGCAGTTTGCCAGAAGTCAGCCCTCCCCGGGGTGTGGTGGGGGGCGCGCAGGGGTACCCTCCCAGTGTGGTCTCAGCAGCGGCCAGGCCAGTCCGGGAACACCCCCTTCATCATCCCCTTCTCAGAAGCCCACTTCATTTGCTCTAGGAAATGCTTTTGCCTTATATTTGACCCAGATCCCATGACATTCCCAGAAGCCAACCTAGTTTTAGCAGACAGACATGAAATGGCCTCAAAAGCCTGCAAATAAATCCTGCCTTTATCATTTCCAGCCAAATGACCTTGGAGCAGGATTGCTTTACCCCTCAGAGCCTTTATTTCCCTCATCAGCAAGCTGGGAATGACAGCACTGCCTCTGGTAGTAAGGTTGTTGTGACGGCTGAGATGAGTTACTACAGTAAACAGTTTCTGCCGTTCCTTCATGCAGTAGGAGTCCGGAAAACAAGAGGCAATCCATTAGAATTCACAACCCAGGAGGCAGGCCTGGGGAGAAGACGGACAGGTGGGTTGGGTGGGGGTTGGGAGGGGATGGATGTCCCGAGAACTGAGAGGGAAGGCTTATTCAAGATCAAGCCAGCAGTGTCGAGAGGGAGGCTGAGCCAACAGTCCCGACCCTAACTCACTGCTGTGACTGCTCCCAGATGAAGTGCCATCTACCCAGCAACCCCCCAGGCCACCACAGGACCCGGAACTCAGGTACCACAGGGCAAAGGGCATGGAACTCAGAGGGGCTGAGCTCCGGGAGGACCGGAAGGGGGCCCCGAGGAGCACATCTTCCTCAGCAGCATCCAATTCCTCAGGAGAGAGAAGGCCCCCCAGCCACAGCACTTGCCACCCGCAGACCCGAAGACCCTGAAGAAGATCCGGAAGGCAGAGAAAGCCGAGAGGGAGTTCCGGAAAAAGTTCAAGGTGTGAACACCAGAATCCTCCAAACAGGAGCCCTGGGGATTCTGGGCACCGCCCCAGTCGACCAAGGCCCCAGAAATTCCATCCTTAGAAGATGGGGTTCCTGGGGTGCCACATAAAACAAAAGCTCTAACATACCCCTTCCCAGTTTGAGGGGGAGATAGTGATTCACACAAGGATGATGATCGATCCCAACGCCAAGACGCGTCGTGGGGGTGGCAAGTACCTGGGGATCCGGCGTGGGGAGATCCTGGAGGTGATCGAGTTCACCAACAAGGATGAGATGCTGTGCCGGGACGCCAAGGGCAAATGTAAGTCAGCCAGGCCAGAAAGTCCCAGAAATAGGCCACCACCAGGGCTGGGAGCTTAGCTATCCCACTCTCTTTGCAGACGGCTACGTGCCCAGAACAGCTCTACTACCCCTGTGAGTGCTGGCCCTGACTGGGGGTGACGGGGAGGGTGGGTTGGTGAGTGGGCCAAGGTGACTCTTACTGACCAAACTGTGCTCTCTGCTAGGGAAACGGAGGTGTATGACGATGTTGGCTTCTGGGGTATGTAGATGCTCTGGGTAGGCTAGAAGGGACCACAGTGCCTGGAAGGAGGTAAAACCCCCACCCCATTTCCCCGGGGGCGGCTCATCATCCGTTTACGGGGAGAGGAGTCACTGCAAATCACCCTTCCTCAGCAGACCCTCTGGAGAGCCAACCATCGCCCCAGGAACGGTAAGGCCCACCGGTGTGGACACCCAGGACCACCGGCCAGCCCAGCCACCCACTAACACAGGAGTCTTGGATCCCAGATTGGCAGTCACAGAACCACCCAGGCTCCTGCCTGCCTACATACACGAACCACATAAAGCTCCTATTTAAAGCAATTCCTGCTTCTTGTCTTTTCTCTCCATCCTGACTAACACACAGTAGAGTCCCGATCAAAGAGCTGGGGGTCTTACCCTTCAGGAATAAATAGCAGGAGGGAAAGTGTGGCAGGGAGAAGGTAGCAAGGGTAGGGCACCATGACCAAACGTGACAAGCAGTGGCTGCAGCTCCACACAGGCTGCAAACAGCCGTCCAACCCACAGGGACCTAGGTATGAGATCACATCTTCGGGGAGGGGTGACCCAGTTCTGACCGAGCTCAGGTATCACGCTCAGCCTAAACGGCTACAGGACTAAATGCACTCAGTAACCCACACTCCACTCGTCTGCTACTGCCACAAGGAACAGACCACACCCCCGCACCGCCCCCCAAGCACACACAATTCCTCTGCCGAAAGCCTACCGCCCAGTGTGATGCTATCTGGGGGTGACTGTGTCTCCGTAAAAGAGGCCCGAGAAAGTTCCCCTGCCACTTCCACCATGTGCAATTGCAGAAAGTACAATCTACAAACCAAGATCAGGTTCCCTCACCAGACACAGAATCTTGGACATCCCAGCCTCCAGAACTGTGAGAAATTCATGTTTGTTGCTTATAAGGTGCCCAATTTATGGTATTTTTGTTATAGCAGCCAAAGAAGACTATGACAGAAGCCAAACTGGAAATGAGCCTAACACAGTGTGCCCCAGATAGCCCGTATACAGGAGGGAGCGAGAGCGGCTCTTAGGACCACTAACCCCCGAGTGCTCTGATGCCGGCGCTGGAGAATGCACGTCACTCGGGACTCAGTTTCCAGTAAGAGCTCTCAAGTGGCCAGGGTCCGTGTCCTCCACCCCCAAGGGTCCACAGACTCAGCAAGAGTAGGGGTGAACCCCCCCCCCAGTGGTCACAGCTCCGAGGGTAAGAAGACGACTGGTTCTAGCTCCCCAAACCGCAGGCGGGTGCCCCGCAACACACACACAAAAGGCAAGCATCTTTTCAGGAACTGGTATTTATTATCAAAGTCATATTCGATGTCAACAAGATGCCACAACTACAAAAAAAATTGCGCACATTGCAATCTCAATGCAAACAGTCAAATGGAACCCCAGTCATTAAAAAAGTAATTCAAATTACCCCAAAAAGCAACTGAATTTTTTAAACATCTTTATACATCCAGCCAACAAATTAAAATGGTTAACAAGAAAAAATACAAATTCAGAGGTCTGGTATCGATGTTTAAAAAAGGCAACTGCTTAAGCATTTCTATCGATTCGAACATCAATCTCTCGGCCACTCAGCTTCATCCCATTCATCATCCGGCAGGCTCTCTCAGCCACCTCTGGCGACTCAAACTTAACCACACCGCACCCCTTGGACTTCCCATTCTCCATCTTGATGTCGGCATACAGCACGTGGCCTGGGCACAGGGAGGGAAGAAGAGACCACAACTCATCAGGCAAACCCAGAGCTCAGCCTCAGTCTGGGCTCCACTCAGTCCCGATCACCTGTTGGATTTCGGTGGACAGAGTCAAAAGGGAGAGCGGCTCTGGCACACAAATGCTTAGAACACAATAGCCGGAATCCGGCGACTATGGCCCTCAGCCATGTTGCCATTCTTCTGCCAACAGGACAACAATCTGACCCATGATAAGCCTCCCTGGCAGCTTCAAATGCGTACCTGTTCACTTAAGAAAGTTGTAACGGGGGCTGTGTGAAGCCAACCTTATAGGCGAGTTTTACAGAGGCTTCACCCTCCAGACCCGACACCACAGCAGTTACGAGGCCGTCATGATAGGACGGACGCTTCCACACTGTGCACTGGGACACAGGCTGCGTCCTGTCTCCCCAGTGGGCTTCACATATTCATTCAAGCACTGGGTAAGCATCCAGGTATGTGTCAAGCACCACCACGAAACAAGTCTATAGAAGAGCTAAGAAGGTGACCGTGAGTAGCCTATGCTAGGGGGCCCTTGTTTCTAAAGCCATTAACTCAGCCCAAGGGAAGGTGAACATCTAGAGGGCTCCTCACGGGACACTTCTGAAATACTTAAGTTCACCGGAAGGAGACTCTTGCTGTAACAGCTCCATTCTGGAGAATGGCACTTGCAGCTCAGGGTTCAGGGACAGGAGGGAGATGAAAGAGGAGGGGCGAAGGTACAAAGAGGCGAGTGAATTTCTCTCCCTGGCAGACGGGTACCTCCAGGCGTCTGAGACAGGGGAGTAGTAGCCTGATGCAACCCGACTTTTCAGAATCCCTACTGCCGCGGAGACGGAGGAGCGGGGAGAGGGCGAGAAGGCTCACTACGGCTCAAAAGCTGCCCCAAGAAAACCAGGAGAAGCCGCAAAGTGGTGCAACCGGAGCTCCCAGTCAAACAGGAAATGAGAAACACCGAGGCGGCCTCGACCAGCAAGCCACCCGGACTTCTGGCTTAGGTTCCAGGCTCCCACCTGACACAGGTAAAAGAACAGAGGTGGTGGGAGTGAGGGGCAGGGATTCACCCTGGGACAACTTCACTTCCTTTCAGCCACACGGGGAGACTTTCAGAATGGTGGCCCAGGTGCCAGGAAACCACAACCAGAGCCCCTCAACCTCATTCACACATAAGCTCGCCCCTGGGAACTTCTGGGCAAGTGCTCTTCGAGGCATGAGCCAACAGTGTGGTGGCAGAAAGCAACCTCATCTCAGATGTTTTTACTCAGCTTTGTCACGCAGAAGCCATGTGACCTTGAGAAAGTGACTTTGCCTGTCTCATCTGCAAAATGGGGACATCGCTGCCTTTCAAAAACCATGAAAGGAGAAGGATGGGGTTGAAGTTGAGAACACGGGTGAGAAGTGTCTGACACATAAGAGGAGACTCAACAACCTGCTTGAGTATTTGCACAGGCAGAAAAATGGCAAGTCCCACTGGTCCTCGAGTCATGGCAAGTGGCTGTGAAGACCAGGATGGGAGATTCACTGCACCCCTCAAACGCATCACTAACAGCTAAGGTTCCTGAAGCCACAACACATGGAAGCACCTAGAAAGCCTTTCTCAAACACTTACCACATTCGTTGAATTTGTCTTTTAGCATCTTCCATGTAAAATCAAATGGGAGCTAAAGGGAAAAGAAGAAACTGCTGAGTGATACAACCAAACCCTAATGTCCTAATGCATAAACACCAGGGTCTCTCTGAGGGAACTTTCAGGACTTGTTACACCAAGAAACAAGGTGCCCTTCAAACAGAGATGATCAGCAGAGAACAAAACACAGCTGTCTGGAATGAGATTCAAAACGAAGCGTACTCCCTTGTGGCATTAACTGTCTAAGGGAGAATCATGCAGAGGATAGTCGCCTATGGTAAGCAGCCTCCAGACCATTCAGTAGTAACCGAAGGTGGTCACGCCGGTATAAAGATACTGCAGATACAGCCCTCTGTCCCTCTGTCCCGCCCAGGTGCAGCGGCTCTTCAAGCCAAGGGAAATCAACAAGCTAGGGTTTCTGAGCTCACTGCTCATTTCCACCTAGCAGTCCAAGAACCCGGGGCTCCTGCCGCACAGAGTTCCTTATGCTCTCCCATTCCCTCCTTATCCTACCAGCACCAGACTCTGGAGACAGCAGCAAAGTGGCCTTACGTGCTGCTACTCTGCTTCCCTACCAGGGGCACCAACTCTGACTCCAACCTGCCCCCCTCCTCCCTCTGTGCCTACCACCAGCACCACCATGGTGCTGAAGAGCCACTTACATTTC